AGATTCAAACGAAGCGTCAAACATATTTCGAATAGTTTTTCGGTTGCATGGCTTTTGTTATTGTATTCAGATACGGATACGGAAACGAATACGCCGCATTGCATAATGTGCAGTTTCCTATATCAAATTGGGTCTGGGCACTGATATGTGGGCGCCTCTAGCCGTACAATTGGGGCCATCGGGCAATAAGTGCTAGCTAGCCATATCTTATAATTCCCTCTCTCCCCTCCCCCTTATAATTCCCTCACGCAATGGCGCTCTCTGTGTGCAGTCGGCAATTGAGACATGGACTTATGTGTGTTTCCTCTCGGAATTTGTAGATCCAAAGATTAGAATATCTGACATGAATTGTAGAGAGTGAATTTTAATGGAGTGCAGCATTAGTCGAAATATATTCAATTGAACAGCTAGGAAAGTCCTAGGATTTTATTCCCAAATAGAATAATACAAATCGAACACATTCGAGCAAGATCTTGTCCGAAATCCTTTTCTTCATCCCCATCGATCATATGATGCAAATTCTTATAATAATTATCTTATTCTTGAACCAAGAAGGTCGCTTTTCCTCAAGAACAATCCTGTCGGGAAATTTGATTCATTAATTCCCATTAATCAAGTAATATTCATACCATATACATTTCAGATAGTCCTTTTTCTCCAAGTGTATCAGACCAATCAAATTTGCGCGTAGTTCCCACAGTTTTCTGTGCTGCGTACACATTCAAGGAAAGTGTTGTTACTATTCCACAGGCAGGTCGATGGAATAGTTTGGGTTGTTTGTGTGAATGGATCAACAATTTGTAAGTTGGAAAAGTGTTGTGACACAAATCAAGTACGGAATGGACTAGGGTAAACAAGGTAAAAGGACAGTCTAGTACAGTTATGGGCTGTATAGGTAGTATGGGGGAGGTTAGTTATTGGTTGTGTCCATTGGCCATTGGCCAAGTCGAGCCTGAGAAATGGACACATGTCGATTATGCAAAGCGATTCGATAGATAGGAAAACTCATGCATTAAAAGGAAGTTTGAAGTGTCCATCAAATGTCTCCTGGGCTGAGTTCAATGAACTGCCAATAAATAGAACAGACGTGTGTGTACTTGCGTATAATTATTGGTACTTTTTGTTGTAGTAGTAGTAGTAGTAGTTGTAGTAGTTGTGTGTGGGCCAGGCTGAGAGACTTCAATCAAACTGCGACACGAGGCGACATCCATGTCGGAAATTGGCGCTCTCAACGATTCTGCAGAACGCACTCGGACGTATGATAGTCAATTTTACACGTCGACTATGTCTGCCACAGCGCACAATAACAAACAAAAGAGTAAAAACACACACAAATTGAATATCGCCACACCGAAACTTGTATGCCCTTAAATGACCAAAGAGCTGTCTGAGCTGATATTCAGTTAGTTTCAGCTCACTTTTATTTATTTATATTCAAGTACTTTCTTCTCGCACGTAAGACTTATTCCCTTTTTTGCACAAAGGACTTTTTCTCTCATATAAAACTAATTCCCTTTATTGCACATGGGACTTTTTTTTTATCACGCAAGGCTTATTTCCTTTTCTTTTCAAATACAAATCTATAAACATACAAAATTTGAGCTAGAAATTTAGCACATGCTTGCCATGAGCTTATCTCCTTGACGTCACAAAGCCAATCAAAAAGCTAAAGTACCCCAACTTGTTTTTCTCTTGAATGCAGCTCAAGTGCAATGCACTCAAATATGTTGATGCCGCATTTCTACCTTTGGGCGAGCATTTTGTGCATGTCGCCCCATAATATCCAAAAATAAAACGAAATTTCCATTTTAAGCTTAAATAATATATAGAGAGAGAGGGAGCGGGAGAGAGAGAGAGTGTGTGAGAGAGAGAGAGAAATGGATCAGTTATCGGCAGCACTCGACTGCACAATTCATTCAACAATATGGCAGAGATTGCAGCTTCATTTCCATTCAGAGCGAATGAACACACACACACACACACACACACACACACACACAGCTATTCACACCCACACACACTTAGCTGGCAGCTACGTAATGAAAAGTGGCATATAACGGCGCCGCCATTCATCACCACAGAGGGGGTAGCAAGAGGGGAGGGAGGGGGGGTTTGGAACAACCGCACGGCCAGCGGCTGAGATTTTCGCCCCCCATATTATTCCAGTGGCAGACCCTGCTGGATCCGTGTCCGCATCTGTCAGCAACAGTTCGCCACTTCTGACTCCCATTTTAGCTGCTACTAAATATTATGGAAAATATTTTTATGAGCTGCACATAAAAAGCCAAAAATAAGGGGGGGTGGGGAAAAAAAATAGAGGGAAAAATAGTCTCTTGCTGTCTGCTGCAGTTGGACTCCGATTTTTGATACAGCTCTTAATGTTTCATCCTTTTGACAGGCGGCCAGCAGCAAACTATCAACAATTGTGATTGCCTTCACATGGATAGCAATTCGGTGAGTCCCCTGCCACCGCTGGCCATCATGGAGAACGAGAAGACGCCGCCGGGCACGCCCAATGGCATTGAAATGCCGCCGCCGCCAGATGAAAAGTGAGTCCATTTATTAAGACAATGTATTTTAAGATCTTCAAAATATAATGCCAAGTCTTAAATGTCTGCTAATATGCAATACTGCTACTCGGGGATATTATTTATGTCCTCTGGGATATTTATTCTTTTATTTTGATCCTTAGGCCAAAAAAGGTGCTCCCCATTTAAATCGTTTGAGTTTTAGCCAAGACATCCCACTTGGGTGTCAAAATAATCAGATATACATATTTCGACAAAAAAAAATGTCTTGTCAAAATTGAATGCAAAATTTATCTTGAGGTCAAACCAAGAACAAAAAGTTATTCTTTATATAAATCCGTTGAGTTTTGGCATTATGATAGAGGAAACTTTACGCAGAGTAAAAATTTAAACAGGCTATGAATATGTCCAGCTTGTATAGAAGTAGGCTTTGTTTAAATACAGTTAGACAAAAGTATCTTAAAGAATTGCAAGGTCTCAGTCTCAGTCAGAAAAACAGATCGATAGACGCAACAGCTACTGCTTAAGTGTTATATATATACCTTGTGTCGCCCGTTTCTACAGGGTATTTGCAGCAATGTCAACACATGTGTATTTGCCGCATATGTTTTGAAGATCTATTTGTTCTATCTGCTAACGAATTAAGGAGACATGTGCTGTTGTTGCGCTCTTTCAGTCCATCAACTAATCAAAAAACAAAAAAAAAGTTAAATAGAAATTTAAATAAATTGTGTCAAGCTGAATTGGAAAGCACATGAAACTGGAGCGCCTAGCATTGGGCGACATCTAGCCGAGAGCTAAGCTGAGCTGAGCCCAGCCGTGCTAGTTATATGACCCGGGCTCGGGAGCCTGCCTTGAGCTCGTCCGCGCGGAGCTGTCGTCAAACTAGCTCGTTAAAACTGTGCACATTAATTGTTCCGTAATGGGCCCAAGTGTAACCATTTACATTTCCATTGGGCCCAAGGAACACCAAGTTACGTATACGCCGCTTTATTAATGCACAGCATTTGGGCCACGCCCTTTGGCCCAAAGCGAGGGCGCGAGGCAAGGGGGCGACCCTTAGACCTGGCGTACTCCTTGCCTTTGTTTTTTAATGCGCCAATTTCCTAATCCATGTACACGGTAGGTCGTAAATTCTATTTTAATATGAGCAGCTCGCAAATCACACACAGACCACACACACACGCACACCTTCGCACACCTTTCGCACACCTTTCGCACACACATTCAACAGTTGATCGCGTGCGTGCGCACAGTTCTTTCCCTAACCATATCCTTGTTTTCATTTTCTATTTTCTATTTTTTTTTTCGTCTTTCACCTCATGTAATTACGTACATATTTTGTGGCTTTAACCTGGAAACTTTTGCTCATTTCATTTCGATTTGAAGTAATTTGTGGGCGCGCTCAGCCAAAAACGAAAACGCGTCCATTTCAAGGAGTTGCCAGTTGTCTCGTGTTTCGCACCTGAGCAGCCTTGCCGTGTGTAATGAGCACGCATTAGCAGGGTGTGTGAGGCTTCTCTGTGTGTCCCTCAATGTCCTGTAATTAACCGACCCGAATAGAAGTGTCCCAGTTTCGTTTAGCATTTACAAACTTCATCTATTATTTATATACATTTGATTAGTTAGGTAACCGTGTCAGGCAGATGTTCTGATTGATGTCCCTGTGCGCACTTATTAAATGAAGCTCTATTAATAAATAAATGAAAATTCTCTATTAATAGAGCAGCAAATTAACCAAGACCTCAGGACTATTGTAGAATTGGACACCTTGTTTGTCATATTTTTTATCAGAGCTACTATTCTTATCATGCTGTCAGCTGAAATCATTTATAATATTTGCAGAAACTCAGGCAGCTGCGGCTATCTTTTATAATATTTGTCTAAAAGTCTCGAAAATGTGTTGACAAGCAAAGCAACAACAAGGTCACATGCGCTTGTAAAATGCAATTGCTAGTTAATATTATTATCTTATGAGAGATACACTTGAAATAAATATTATACAAATCTGCCAAAATTATTTAGACAGTTATAGAGTTATTTTAAGTGTGATTTCATTAAACATATTTACTTTTAATTAATATCTTCAATTCAAAACACTTTTGAATATGGCGCCAAAGCTTGTCGCTGGTTTGTGTCTTCGCTTTGATCAACCTTGCACAACATATTGAGCTTAACAGTGCCTATTTGAGTTTAACATATGCCTAACAGCAGCATTGCATGCACAGTCTGTTGACGTTAATTTTGATTTTAAGCTTGTCGCATTTGTTGCTTAATAATATTATTGAAACACAAATAGATGTGTCTATAGATAAAAGACAAAATAAATAAGCTCTCAGAATTAAAATGTTCTATTTTGTTTATACGTTATCAATTTAAAATAAAACGGACAAAAGCTTTAGCAGCGGCAGCAGCCATTTCTCTCGCGCCGGCAGCAGATCCCACACACAAACCGCCAGCATTTTCAGTTGGTTTTTCAGTTGTTCATTCGCTGTCGATCGGCAAGGGACATTAATTGCGGCTGCCGGGCGTTATTTGAATATCGTGTGGAAAACAAATGTGTGTGTGTTTGTGTGTGTGTGGATTTAAGTATTTTGTGTTTGCCAGAGAACAAAAGGAAACAATATAAACAATAACCTTGCGCTCTTATATAGAAAGTGTTTGGTTTTCATTTTAAATAGAAACAGCTGAACCTATATCTATGGATGCCAGTTACATTGTCTTTCATTTAATGAAATCGAAAGTTGTCGAAAAGGCAACACATTTGCATACCACAAGACATCAATCACGTTACCTTCTTGAATATCTTTGGGTACCGAAACCCAAAGCGAAACTAAAACATTTTTTATTTTCCAGAATGCCTTAGATTATTGTGCCTGACAAATTAACGTGCTGATTAGCAAGTCGATTCTCTAAATGTCCGATTGATATACTTATATATTCGTCTAGCGATTAAGCAAATTTTTAAATTATTTTTTATTTAATCTTGACTGAGAGAGTCTTAGCTTCAGTCTTAGCTTCAGGCTCAGCTTCAGACTCAGCTTCAGTCTTAGCTTCAGGCTCAGCTTCAAATCTAACGAATTGAATTTTCAATTGTAATTTTTAGAGAGCTTCAACGAATTGCAAATATTTTTTGTGGGAAATTCCGAAAAGCTTTTTACATTAGCCAAACGCTCGCGATCTCGATTTGCGATCTACAAAAAAATAGACGCGCTGTGACGTATTAATTACGTATACGCCGTGTGCTCGCCGGTTTGCTTGGCGCGCCAAAAAGAAAAACAAAAACAAAACTAAAAACTAAAAACAACAAAAGGAAAATCTACATAAATTCGCTTAAATGCGCGATCGTCATTTGGGCAAAATGCCGCGTGGAGGAACGACAACAGCGTAAGTTAGCTCTTCATCAAATCAACTTCATGTTGATTCAACAGATTATACAACAATTAGTTCACAAATATAGCTGGGCTGTAGTAAAGAATTATATCTGGACTGTTTATTAGCATATCAAGGCTTTTTTGCTGCTAATTAAAGCATATTTGACACATCTTGTCTGCCTAAAGCTCAGCTGAGACGAGGTCTTATCTAATGGAAAATGTGCCTTTAATATGTTAGAACATTATCGGAACAAATGTAGAAAATGATACCAAAATAGTTTGTGTAATTCGTGGAAATTTCGGACCTATACGAAGGCAGCCGTTTTTTTTTTTTTTGCCTTAAGCCTAAGCCTTGGCTAAGATGAGGTCCTGTCGTACAGGATATAGAGTCTGTAATATGTTAGAACATTATCGGTACAAATGTTGAAAATGATAGTAAAATAGTTTGTGTAAGCTTCGGACGTGAACAAAGGCAGCTGTATTATTGTTTAATGTTTTTTTTTTTTTTTCATTTAAATAATCAAAAATTAAATTTTTTAATCAGGCGATCTATCGCTTCTTAGTCTCTCAGACACCTAACCTAGGCCATCCCCTCAGTTCACCTGGAGGCCAAATAAACTGAGACTTGCAACTCGTCGAGCTGCCCTCTGCCTTAAAAGACAGGCTCAAAAACATTTAAATTGATAAATTATATGCTGCTTTGGGGGTAGATACATATGACTGCATATGCCGCTTTAAATAGAGTACTGTGAGCCAGGCTGCCTGGCTCTTAATTCGAATTCGAGCTAAATAAAAAAAAAAAAAAAAAAAAAAGAGAAGAAATGTTTATAAATATGATAAATAAATACAATAATTCAATGAATAAATTGCAGGGCAACTGCCACACAGTGTCGCATTTGCGCTGCGTGTCGAGTTGTAGTACTGCGAATTTATGATTGTATCTTTAAGATACAATTACCAGCGCGCACACACACACACACACACATGCAGGCGAAACACAAGCCGCAGGCCTTTTAAACAAAACGGGGCAGCAACCGCACGAAAATGTTTCAATTGAAACTCCCCGAGACGGCGCTCTGTCCGTAAACAATTGTCGCCCATTGTAAAGCAACACCACAGATACACACACACACACACACACAGTTACACAGCTACACACACATAGATACAAGTTACACTTGGTTGTAGCTAAGCTTCGTTACGCGCACTTCATCATAATTAACCCGCAGGATACACACACACATTGTGTGCGTCTGTTTTTCTTTTGATACACTTCCAGAGCAGGGTATTATAATTTTGTCGTGAAATGTGAAAGGAAACATCTCCGAACCCGAAGTATAGATATTCTTGATCAGGTCCTTCCGTCTGCCCTTCCATCGGCTGTTTCTATGCGAAGTAGGCGCTCAGTTTTAAAGCCTGAAACTTTGCATTCGTCCCTCTTGCTGTTGCACCTATATCATATAGTTGCCATAGGAACGATCGGACGAAAAGTAGGTTCTTGCATGGAAAACATTTTTGTTCATCAATAAATATAAACCATAACCTGCGCTTCTTAGATATGGGCACTATGAGGTTGGGTCTCGCTAGAGTATTAAATGTTCGGCGTACCCTTCTTTCCTGTTTCTTTTCTGAGCTTGATTTTCCGTCATGCTTGCGAGCATATGTTTTAATTTAGTTAAGGTTTAATTGTAGTTTTAATTCGTTTTAATTGAAATTGTGCCCAAGTTTCCTGCATGTCAAACACCTACTTAAGCTGCGTGTACTTACAGATACACGCAGCCAGCACTTGCAGATACTTTTGTATCTGTGCCGCGTCAATAGTTGTATGCTTGTTGCAGTTAAACGAGTCGCGCTCCAGTTTTGAGTGCCATCCATCAGCTGTTTTAACCATAATTAGCCCGCTTTCAACTGGCAGAGTTAACTGCCCAAAGACAACTCATGGCTGGGCTCTCATTATGGCATAGCTGTTTGCACTACGTTTCAGATACATTTGTATCTACTGTGTGGAAATCACATGAGCTTATCGCCTGCCCACAAGACAAACAGCCAGATAAAAGCTGACGGACATTATGCTATTTGTACTTATACATAATGTGTGTGTAGCTATTTAAATAACCTTTAAATTGTTATTCTCGTTGTAGTTTATACTAGACTAGAATAATAATCACAAGTATCTTGCAAATCTCTGATGTTAATAGGAGTGGAGAGTTTGGAATTAAACCTTGAAATAGATCAGACATATGTATCTATATATAAGTTCTTATTGGGCTTGCAGATGTCGGCTTCAATATTGTAATACACTCATCTATGGCTGATTGTAGCTGCGGCTGCTTTCGCCGTGTCTATGAAGATTGTTGCGGTTAAGGAACTGTCAGCTTAGGCTTTGGATTTGGCGCTTTCCTTCATTAGACACGCCTGGCACCAGGCAGTCTCCAGCCAAGTCTGCTGTTGTTGTTGTTGTGGGCAGTGTCAACAGCCGCAAATTGTTGCTGACCCATTAGCAACAATTGGCGCTAAATCAGCAGCAGGCACATTGAAAGCCATGGCTGCAACAGCGGCTGCAGTTTCAGGTTCAGGTTTAGTCTGCACTTGCAACTTGCAGCCGACTATGTAAACCGAGTTGTTGCACAAACGCAGCAAAAGCAAAAGCTTTTAGCGAAATTTTCCCAGAGCCAGTTCAAAACAAAAAAAAAAAAGTGAAAGAGCTGCACAGATGCAGATACAGATGCAGCTACAACAAGATGCAGCTGCATGCAGGCTGCCAGCCCCCCCCCTCTATTCCCCCCCCCCCCCCCCGCCCTTCCCCTCCTGTGGCTGCAACAACAATTTGTGGTCGTTGTTGCACTTGGGCGGCAAGTGAAATGTGTGTTAAAGCAAGCGGCTTCTGCAGCTAGGCCCCCGCCCACACTCTCTTGTGCAATGTGTTGAAAACTAAATGCTGCAGCCTGCACACACAGCCCCAACCCCCTCACCATAACATGTGGTATAGGGTATATACATATATATATGTATAAATTGTTTGTTTTGTTGCATTGGCCGTTCATTGACATCGCTCGCCGAGGCATGCAGCGACTGTCAGTGCAACAACAACAACAACAACGTCAGTGGGGCACAGCCAGACGGGCGGACAGACAGACGGACGGTCATTTGGTCAGACACTGACGGATGCCGCGGCGCATGTTAATTAAAGCGTTTATTACGAGTCGCGTATCACAAAATGATGCAAGTGATACAATGCAGTCGGTACCCAAACCCAATTACCCCTCCTTACCCCCGTCTACCCCCCCCCTCCCCTTGAGAAAGTGCGTGCTTAAGTATGGTATTAAACAAGTTGATTTTTTTTAATAATAATACCCTATACTCATTAAAAATGCTAGCGAGCATCTAGTCTTGTTGCCTGACTGCATGAAAAGCAGAAAGGAGTTGAAGGCGTTTAGCTTGGCATATAGGTTATCGGAAATCGATAAATATCGATTTTCTATTCAGAACATAATGTAAGCGCTATAAGAGGAAATATCTGATTATAGACAATTATTGGAATGCCGTCTTTAAGCCCAAGAGATTTTATGCCAATCTAGAAATCGATAAATATCGATTTTATATTCGTTATTTTAAGGCCCCAAAAAGATACACACACCCAGATCGAAATGTAAGCGCTATAAGAGGAAATATCTGATTATAAACAACTATTCGAATGCCGTCTTTAAGGATAAGAGATTTTATGCCAATCTACAAAATCGATAAATATCGATTTTATATGGGGTAAGCATGCATTTTATAGTCAGAGTCTAGGGTATGGGATAGTCTAGTACGCGAAACTTCATCATCACTTTTACTTGATTTTTAATGTGTTTGGCTTTTGCTTTCATTATCACGCTGCGACCGATTTCTTTGCTGTGCGCACTATTAATTTAAATAATAATCATTTTGTTTGGCTTTCGTTTTGTTGGAATTGTTTTGCTGTCACTTCAAGTGCAACCGCAGCGCAAAATCAACTGCACTTGGAAATGATTAAGCGGCTCGTTGGCCAACAGAAATGCGCCTAATTACCACAGCTCCATTCAGCTATAGCCCCCACCAGCCCAGCCCAGCCCCCCTCCAGCCCAGCTCTGGCCACTTGGCGTCTCTTTATATACCCCAAACACATTAAAAGTGTACAAACGTATGTAACAGGCAGAAGGACACCACAAATATTGCCGATCAGCATCCATAGTCGAGTATGTATGTATTAATGCAAGGATCTCAGCACCTACAAGAGCTAGAAAGTTGAAATTTGAAATGTAGGTGCTCCTAGCGCCTCCTTGCCCTGTTTCAAAGTAATCGATCAAAATCTATATACAAAATCTATAAAAACCCTGTTTTTTGAGCAAATCTCGTAAGTTATAAGGGCTGAAGACATCAAACTTGACAAGTAGCTTCTTGAATAGTATATATATCTTGAATTTGATAACTATATAAATGGTTTAGGGTATACCCCAGTCGGGTGCTCCCGACTAGAGGCTCTTACTTGTTTGTATCTGTTTTCTTGTGGCAGCTGCTCTTCGAATTGAATATGTGTGTGGCAGCATCTCTGTGAGAAATCCCACAGTCCATCCCATTGGCACCCACTGCTCTTCTGCCGCAACAATGCATCTGTTTCGACACTGAGATCATCGCCATTCTCAAATGTTTTGTCATATGAACAACAGCAGCAGCAGCAGCAGCAGCTCACGCAACATAATGACGAAAATGATATGAATAACAAATTTAATTGGCATCCAATTTCATATGAACTATATTTCATGTGATAGTTGAAAGCCATTTGCTGGAGTTCGAAGCGTGTGGACAGATCTACAATATAAAAAAAAAAAATAATGCTTGCATTAAAATATAAGACATGAATCTATAATAACTACTGCCTCCTGCCCCTCGATTTTTACCAAACCCAAAGAAGGTTTTTCAATTTCTGTCAAATAACGAAGAAATATTGAAAAAAAAGTCTAAAAATATAAAAAAAACCGTTTGATTACTTTTGAAATGCAAATTTGTCAAACTCAATGGGCAATATTAAAGCGAAACAAATAAAAAAAAAAAGAGATAAAAAATTAAAAATTTTATACGAAAAAAAAGTAAGAAATATTGCTGCTTGAAATGCCTTTAAAGATCTAAAGACAGAATAGAGCTGTCCGGCAATTACCTTTGACAGGGCAAATGAGATAATTGCGAGTACAGTAGTACCCATTCATGATGACCGCAGTAAATATTTGCTTTATAAATCAATTAAGCCAGATTAGAGCTGCGTATTCAATTAGTGTCTGGTTTAGCCCAAGAGAAATTTATGTAATTATGCAAACGGACAGACAGAGGGACGGAAAGAGAGAGAGAGAGACAGAGAGAGAGGGAGAGAGGGAGACAGAGAGAGAGAGAGAGAGAGAGAGAGAGAGGGAGAGGCATACAGAGAGACAGACAGTCAGAAAGACAAAACGTCGGATAGAGAGACAGACGGACAGAGAGACAGGGAGCCAGACAGAGAAATAGAGAGAGCGAGAGAGAGAGAGAGAGAGAGAGAGAGAGAGAGATTGTCAGACAGAGAGACAGACAAAGAGTCGGACAGAGATACGACTGAGAAACTCGGACTGATAAATTTGCAGACTCTAGCTGCAATTATGACATACAGAGGAACTCTAATGTATATATATGCAGCATAATAGGTCGGGTTTAACTTGGATAAATGGACATAATAAATGGCAGCTTTATAGATCAACTGAATCGAGCTATACGCGGCAAGCCTAAACAAAAGTAAATTCTTTGCGATACAAACTGAAACTTATTGGGATTTTATGTGCTTGAATTTAATTGCAGGCGATATGAGGAGGATCCGGATAATGCCTGGAACTGCTGTTCCTGGTGTGAATACCTACTGATTGTCATACTCTCGACCATTTTACTGGTGGGCGTATTGATACTCACGCTATTCTGGGTCATGTTCTATCGCGGAGGTTTCGCCTGGACGGAGCGACCGCTGCAGCAGTTCAATTTACATCCCATCTTGATGGTCGCCGGCTTCGTAACGCTCTCCGGATTTTGTAAGTGTCCATACGAAATAGAATTGTCTTTTGGGTAATTCGACTGAAGATCTCGATTGCAGCTATTTTAATTTATCGACTGTGCCGTTGCGTGAAGCACATCTATGTGAAGCTGATTCACATGTTCTTTCATGCCGTTGCGATACCCTGCATTGCGCTCGGGTTCCTCTCCGTCTTCGATTCGCACAACGCATTGCAAAAGGTTAACTTCTACAGTCTGCACTCGTGGCTGGGCTTCGTGACAATGGGCATGTTTCTGCTGCAATTCGTAATTGGCTTTTTCACGTAGGTGTTGAGTTATATTTGATCGTCTCTGGCTCTAATTACGCTTTGGATTTGCCAATCCGGCTTTGATTTAGCTTTCTGGTGATGCTCTGCTGTGAGAACAAGACATATAGCTGCCGCTCCGCCATGGTGCCCATACACGCCAGCCTGGGTTTGGCCAATTTCTGGCTGGCGATTGCCACATCCGTGTCGGGCATTATCGAGAAGGAACGCGAAACTGCCAAGGATCCAAACTTGAGGTGGGTGCCCAAATCCTATAAATGGAACAGGTTAATATTATAATATGACTTGCTCTTGCAGTGCGGAGAACCAACTGATTGAGCATTATATAACGAGCGCAATCGGACTCACCCTGGTCGTGATCGGCATCATTGTCACCTTTGCCGTGCGAAGGACTAACGCGCCGGCATCCGCCAAAGTCTATGTCACCGAACGCATTTAGATGGGCTACAGCCCAGGCCATGCCCAGGCTTCGACACATCCACACTCTCGGTGCATGAACTGTGTAATCGCAATCAAAATTTGTTACAACCAAAATCTCTTGTCTGTGCAGCACAAAACACGACAAAACACGCTTTAGCATACTCTTCATAATTATATACGCACACACTATACTAAACTATATGCCAAATCAAAAAGAAAATCTTAAATCAAAACTAAACCTTTCGCTATCAAAATGCCAACTTTTGCTGCTAGGTAGTAGTAGGTATAGGAATCTCAGACTTAGCCAGACCTAGTTGGGAATACACACAGATTCACAAAAGTATATATATATATATCTATATATAATAGAAACTAGAGGACCGCCCAGCCCAGACCAAGCATTAGCAATTACAAATACATAAACCTTATACAGCTAAATTCTTAGCCAGTTTTAGACGTTTTTACACTTACAACCGAAAATACTATTCAATATATATATTACTTATATAGTGTATGTACTATACGAAACTAATGCATAAACTTTACACAAAACTAAACGTAGTTATTGTCGCATTTGATGTTCTTTTTTTTGTAATTGTGCAAACATATTTGTATTTCATAAAAAGCTAAGCAATACATAAGTTGTAAGCCCAACATTTTACAATTACTATATAATAAATGATCTTTCTATTTATTACATATGAAAAAAAACCTAATACAATCTTTTATTTCAAATGCTTTTCGGGCTGCGTATTAAATAAATAGTTGTACTTTAGCACGAGCTTGTACTAACTGCATTTGTCGCCCTTGAGCTGGGGCAGACGCAGTGCTCGTTTTTTAATTAGGATCACATTCTGATTGCCCGTTGGCGGCGGCGCTTGTCCAGTTACGAAAATTGTGCCATTATTTGAGCCTATGGAGTAGACGCTGACATTCTTCGGCTCCCGTTTGCTGCTCACGGGCAGATCAAAATTGCGTACGCGCGGCTCCGGCTTGGGATTGTCATGCATATTCTCTATATCTAACTTAAAGGGGGAGACAAAGTTACGTATCCAGGGCTTGGGCTGCAGCAGCTCACGCTCCAGATGGGGGCTCAACGACATGCGTTTATCTGTCGGCTTCCGATCTTCCGGCGTTGGTTTCTTACGGACATACGTCAAATCCGGCTCAAAAGCGGGCACTTCCCCCTGAAAAACAAACATTTGTAGCCCGTCACAAGTTTAATTTTGTTTCTGACTTACCATGCACACATGCAGCTTTTGTGCCTTGGTGTTGTCTGCGATTAGGAGTCCACATTTACATTCGACATAGCCGTGCAGTCTGTATATAGGTCCGATTTTCTTAATGCTAAAACAGCGTTTCACGTGCGCAGTTAGATTTTTAAACTTATCAATAGATCTGCCACAGCTTGGGCATGTGGCTTCATTCTTAATTTCATTTACAGTGTACCAATAGGTTTTCCTATCTTGCAAAAAGCTGAATTGGCTTTTGGTGACCTGTAAAAAGAAGATATTTATCTGCACCTAGATGGGAAAATTGAGTTGCAATTTTTACCGTCATTTCCTCTTTGCTCGACATTGTTCAGCATTTATATTTCGATGGGTTGTCCGGCTGGATTCTTAAGACACTTCCAATGGCAGTTTGGACACACAACGTATTAATACACAACAACTTTTAGATTAATTTAATAATTTCTTTCCAACAGTTTCCAGCATCCATGCAAATTTTAGTCACATTGTTTATGTTCGCCGAGCGCGTCCGCAAATCCCGTTGCAAATATATCCGAGTGCAAACTTTGCTTTGCAAATGCTGAGGCTGTTAACTGGACCGTAAACTAGCAATTGATTAATATCTTGTTAATTTAAGCATAAAATGCTTTTTGTTGGTATTCATGCTTAAATATGCTTAAATTTATTGGGAGCCATCGCCGATGCCTATTAAATAAACTATTGTGAACCAGGTTACATTTTTTATCAGCTTGCAACACTACACATATCGGCTGCCTATCGATAAATATTATTAGCCGCCTATCGCTCGCCCACCACAAACTGTCTCAACAAGAAAACATAAAATTACAAATTATTTAAAAGAAACAAATGTAAAACACATTTTATATTGATTTTGAAGGAAGCGCTTAAAAGGCCAAATACGCATAAGACAGCGCAACAAAAATAAATAAAAAATAATTGTCTACTTAGCTATTTTAATAAAAGAGTTTCCACATATGTATATAAAAGTTTTTTAGGAAAACATGGGTAAGTTGTGTGAAGTACACGCATAATCCAAATAAAGGATACGTATTTATACTTTTACTTTGTCTTACCCCAGATGTGCCAGCGCCTGACGCTTGCTTGCTATGCCTGGAGGAAAACGCACTCAACCTGGATGATTATATGGATGTCTATTCCGCAAAGGGTGCCCAGCTGAATGTCGTGCAGATAATCAACAAACACTTACCCATGCAGCTGGCCCAAAGTAGTGGGGAGACTCGGAAAATCTGCTCGCTATGCTGGAGTACTGTTTCTGCCTTCAATACGCTGCACGATTTCGTCAGCGCAACGCAGTGTTCGCTGCGGGAGACAAAGGTGCTGCTCATGGAGGATGACCCCCTCACCCAGGGCAATTGCACCGAGGCGCCTAAACAGGCGGCAGATAATGTCAATCCAGATCCAGCCGAGCCAAATGATCGCAATTTCTTCTATCCGGAGGTTAAGATAGAGGAACATGAGCTGGAACAGCTGCCCAAAATTGAGGTACTCGAGAGCACCGCCGGCCTGCAAACTGTCCAACTGAACTCCTCGCCAGGCCGACGTCTACGCAAGCGTGTCAAGGCGGAAGTAGAAACTCCACATGTCCAGGTAGAATCCATAGAAGTTATGGCACATGAACCTGCGGAGACGCCGAAAAAACGTCGTGGGCGGCCACGGAAAAGCGAAGCAATCCTTAAAGAAACCCAAAATGAAACGCAATCTCAGCCAACCTTAGATTTGGACACAAACCTTAAATCGGAAAACGCCACCGAATTTAGTGACGATGACGATGATCAGGACTTTGTGGCTGGCCAGCTCGACGAGGGGCTCGACGACGACAGCAGCGAGGAGAGTCCACAGAGTGATGATGATTCCGATTTTACGATGGACAAGCCCAGCGAGGTTGAGTTTGCCGTTATACCGAAGCGTACGCCGGTGCGGCCCAAGAAATATAAAAAGCGTGCCAAGCCGGCCGAGCCGAGAGTGCGCATGTCCCGCGAGCTGCTGGATCAGCGCAAGAAACAGCAGGAGGAATTTGATAGCATCATTGCCAAGTTCTTCAGCGATGTATTGCCGTGCTCCATATGCAATCTGTTGGTGCACAACTTTACGGAAATGCAACGCCATCATCGCCTCACACATCAAGTGGATCCCGGCTATATGATCTGCTGTGGCCGCAAGTTTACGCAGCGTAAAGTGCTCGCCGAGCATGTGCTGGTACATTGGAATCCGGACCACTTTAAGTGCACCACCTGCGAAAAGTCATTCCAAAACTCACGGCACTTGGAGTCGCATCAACAGGTGCACGTGGCCAAGTTAACCTACCAGTGCGATCTATGCTCAAAGGCTTTCCTTAGCAAAACGGCAATTGACTACCATAAGCTAAACAAGCATGTGCCCAAGTCTGAATTCAAATTCACCTGCACCGAGTGCAACAAAAAGTAAGTTATTCCCGTGGATCAACAAAAGCTTACCTAATGGTTGATCCTTTACAGATTCCTGACTGAACGCAAGCTAAAGAATCATATGAACTCCATGCATGATCCGGAGAGCATTATCATATGCGACAAGTGCGGCAAACAGATGCGCACCAAAATCATTCTGAAGAAGCATCAGGAACTGATGCACTCAAACACACCGCGACCGGAGCCCGAGTTGAAGCAGTGCCAAATCTGCGGCGCCTGGCTAAAGGGCATGACCGGCCTGAAGCAGCACATGAAGAGCATACATGTGGAAAGCGCGGGCGAGCATCGTTGTCATGTGTGCAGCAAGATTTCCCCGAATGCACGCGCCCTGCGACGCCATATCTATCACAAGTAATGTCCACTTGTAACCACATGTCATCATAGTACTAACTTTTTTATCTTCTCCGTGCAGCCACGAATGCGAGCGCAAGTTCAAGTGCACCATGTGCGATAAGGCGTTCAAACGACCCCAGGAACTAAAGGTATGCGTTAACAACATAATTTCAAATCAAAGCAAACTTTACCTAGAATATTTTTCGACTCCACAGGAACACACATCCACGCACACCGGCGAAGTTCTGTACACCTGTCCAAACTGTCCCATGACGTTCTTCTGCAGCGCCAACATGTACAAACATCGGCAGCGGCTGCATCGAGCGCAGTATGAGGCGGACAAGAATCAGCCAAAGCCGCCCAATATACTGCAGCAAGCGGTGGGCGCCACGGCGGCCATGAAAATCAAGTTGATGCAGAACACAAACGTGGCCAGCATAGAGTCGGACTTGAAGCATTTCTAGATCAATATAAGTTAGTGTGCACTTAGCATTTAGTCTACATGTTTAGCTTTAGTCTTAGCTTATCTCTTAGTTGTCTATCGTTAAGCTAAAGAAAAAGAGTAAAAATTAGTCGATGTCGACGTAATTTTGGTACACGTTAAACTGTTTTATATATGGGAGTTGTGCTTTTCAGCTGATCTTAAGGTATTACTTTACCATTAATATATTTCCGAGGCACGCGACTCTGTGGTCAATTGAAAACAAACAAGGTTGGAATGTCTTTCTTTCTTTATAATTATTTACAAGGATGGCTTAACGGCACCTTATATAACGCATTGACATTTACATATTTTAATAATGCATAAATTTAAAATATATATGTATACATATGTATATTTAGAAGATACTGCGTTTTGTCTCGATGTTATAATTGTTTCTTGTTTTTTTTTGGGGGGGAGGGGCTCCCTTAGTTTGTTAACACAATTAGATTTTTATGTTGTAGCAGTAGCAAACATTGAAAATATATTTAATTTAATTTACATACAAATATTATTGTTCTTTTATTCATTAGTTTAGTGCATTAAGTTCTCCTTTAAATTGGGCATAGATAAGTATATGTATGTGTATTTATTTATAACATGGCCTCACCAGCAATTCAATTAGACCCTTTTCGTTCTGGTTTTATGTTCTGTTCGATTTATGCTTAACTTTCATAGACTGCACAACTTACGCGAAGGGATTGAAACAGTTTCTCAGCTTTATCATAGCGAATTTAGATTTGTTTGTGTTTACTATTTGGTTTTCAATAAACTCTCGATATCTAGGCAACATTTATAAATACAATACTTTCGTTTTAGGGTTTATGTATTTCCAGAGGAAATGTCATTGCATCGATTTACATTTTTCATTTCAATATGTTTTAGTTAAATCAAACTATTTGCGACACCGTTTATACTTATAGTTATAAATTTAGTTTAACAGTTGGTTTAGTCGGGGGAAGTATGCAATTTAGGTTAGTTACAGCACAAAAACAAGACGGGTAAAAAAAAAAAAAACATATGTAAATCAAATATTTATTTGTATTAATAATAATATTGTTGGCTCAGCTAGTGAAACTGTTTGAAAACTTTAGCTACGAGTTAAGCTTTTCTTTATCAATTAACTAAATATGTGTGTGTATTTATTGCAAAAACAAAGCACAATTATTAGTTCGTTTAAAACAAAGCCAGAAAACAAAAAGAACAAAAAATACTGTTTATAACTGTAGCAGAACAATGAACGTAAAATAAAAACATAAACTTTTATGCAATTTCTTTTTTAATGTACTTTGCATTTGTATTGCGACTTGAAATTGTTCTGAAATTTTCTTTTGTTTCTCTTACGCGCATTATTTTTAAACTTTTCTCTTGTTTTTTTTTTTTAAGTTGAACTTGAAACGGAATTGTATGAACGCGTAACATAAATAACAACAATAATTATATAACAATGACTAAAAATATTTATAGTAAACTATTAATTGTTTGCGTGTTTTAATAGGCGTGGCAACTGTTGCTGTTGTAGTTGATTTGGATTCAATGAGCAGGATAGATTTAAGTTTAGTCAGCGCCCTTTTCAGGATCTGCCGCTGAATATATAATTTGCATATTCAATTATTAATTTTTGCTGTTGGCATATTTGTATTTATATTTGCGTGGATGTGTCTGTGTGTGTGTGTGCGATGCAGAGGCATGAGAACGGCCTCTTAAAGCTTGGTTTGCTCAACCATATCGATGTTCACCTTGTAGAACACATAGGGATAGTATTCGGACTGGCCAAAGCCCAAGCCGGGTATGTCGACATTCTACAAGAACCATAAAAGCATTAGTATGCATATAGAGAGTGGAGTAGACATCTTACATCAGCACTGCTGACATGTCCGCCAGCGGATGCACCGTCCAAGTGGCCATACAGCTGATTCAGGACGTCACGCAGACGCTTCACGCTCTTCTTGTTGGGCTCAATCAATATGGCCTGGAAGTTGACCGGCAGGCCGTATCTGTGTAGGGCATAAAGTTGATTAAGGACACAGCAAGAAATATTTATGGATGCGTTGCCTACCTCAGCACGGATTCCACAAAAACGCGCAGCGCTTTGACGTGTATCAAGGCGCAGAAGGCCTCGCTGAAGTTCACCTTCAGCCAGCGCACCAAAGGTCCCTGTAAAATGATATTGAACAGAAATTTATTTGATGTATAAATAAGTTAATTGTGCTACGCACAAACTGCTTCTTCTTGTCGGTCATCAGCTTGGTCATCTCGTTCTTGCCCGCGGCCAGCTCCTCCTCATTGTAGACAAAGTCGCGCACAATGAACTTGCGCTCGCGTGCATGCAGCTTGAACTCTTCGGTGACCTTCTTGAAGAGCGTCACATTGAACAGGCAATAGTCGGGATCCTCCTTGATCAGCTGCGACGAGCGTGGCACAATCATGTCCGTGATTTTCTCGTAATTGGCTAACCAATCGTTGGCCATGGTCCTAAAGTGTAAGGTTGGAACATAAGTATGTAACATAAGCATAAAGAACCAAGGATGCAAAACGGAACCGGAATGAGGTAATCAGTGGACTTGCAGCCTTGTAAACGGAATAGTTGGGCATCCCCCGCGTTCACTTACTTTGGCACAATCACCAGCAGCGTGGTCAGGTACTCCGAGTCCAATATGAAGTGCTCCTTCTTGACCAGATCCGCCAGATTGCGGGTCAGCAAGCTGCCACTGTGTGCGAGTTAAAGTAATTAGAGATTGCCAGAATCGTTAACTAGGATTATGTTAGCTTACGTTTTCTTCTTCTCCAGGTTTTGTAGATTGCCCTTCAGATTGTTGTAGGCCTGCGACTTGGTCTTCAGATCGCCATCAATTTGGCCAATTTGCTTGGAAATGATGTCGGCAATGTTGCGCAACGATTGCTTGATCGGATACTTGGCCATGTCCCATTGGAAACGCGTTAAATACTGCGGCAGTTCGGCTGTTTATTCGATTTGAAAATAGAAAAGGGAATTAGTACGCTTTCGCAATGATAGCTTTATCCAGAAAAAAACAAATTCAAATAATCGTTATCTATTTATTTTCTTCTTTTTTTTTTGTAATTAGTATAAAACAAACTAAGTTAGTTTGGAAATCATAAACAACAAAGTTAAGTGGGTAATAAATATTGCTCAGACAAGATAAATATATAGTATATAGACGAACACTTTTACAAGACACACACACATATACACGCACACACACACACACACACACACGCACACGACAAAATTCAAAATTCATTTCACACATGATTTAATAAATACTACAAAGCGTTAAATATATACATTAAAATAGATATACAGACATATATAACAATGCATAAATAAGGCAATTAAAAGTTAGGCAATTGTTAACAAAAACAAGTAACTAAAATTAGTTAGTTAGCCAAGCAGTTCAGTGCATATTATTTAGGAGCTCGAATTTATTTTATAGAGATACTTCTCAAAGGGATTTTAATAGTGGGAAATTTATATCTTAGATGTTCGACATTTTACAACACTACACAAAAAATACTTTTTTAAAACGATCATTCCGATGGGAATTATGCGATATAGTCGTACGGTTTCAAATTATTTGTCGAATGGTTTCATTAGATCTACTTTTTATAGGAGTATTAATAGTTGGAAACATATATCTTAGATGTTCAACAATTTTTTTTGACATTTTACAACACTGCACAAACAATACTTTCTTAATGATCGCTTCTTTAACAGTTATATGATAAAGTAGTAGAACGATTTTCAAAAAAACCTAAGTTAAGTCAAGTTACAACAATAGAAAGCTAATAAGTCATCAGAGAGTACAGTTGCCTTCGCTTACTAACACTGGGAAATCAAGCTAATCCCACTAATCCCAACTAGATTAATCAACACTGAATTGCTTTTAATTGCGTGCACTAATGAAAACAAATAAAATATAATGAGGAAATGAGAATCAAGAGAACAATAAAATGAGCTACGCATACAAGAAGGCTACGAGGTGCTAATTAAGACTTTTGGGTAGGGTATCTATAGAGTTCGAGGTACAGAATAATATTTGTTAATATTAGAATTAGAAGGAATAACGAGTACCTTTCGCAACACATTTGAAACGGCACAAAAGGTTAGCTGATTTGTATGGCTTGTGTATAATTGGGTAATTAAATAAGCTTATACTTAGACACTTAAATGCAAATCAAAAGAGTAAATTTAAATAATAAAAAAAATAAATATACATAAATAGGGCTTAAATTAAAATATATATTAAATAAACAGAAAATCGGTGTGTGTGTGTGTATTAATATTTAGCTTAATGGGAATCGGCGTTAATCGTGGCTATGATATTTGCGCAGCAGAACAACATTTGGTGAGCAGTACACTGAAAGAACAACATATTCGCTTTTACACTGTTACAAATAATTTGGTGTATTTATATGGTAAAGGAAATCAGGTGACGAGAGCCGCTTAAATCGGCTCGTTAACTTAAAAGAAACATCTGCAAAATAGTAAAGAGAAAAAAAGAGAGAGAGAGAGAAAGACTTGGAACTGTGAAACTGTATAACAGGTGTATAACACTTATGCCGTATAACAGTTAATCAATTCCCAACAAAAAGAACGCTTCAATCAAAATGTAAGCAAAGTTTTGGCCGGGAGCTTTACGTGATGGTCAGAAATAAGTTGTAGGTGGGGCACATCAAGTGGTTCCTCGAAACGAAAAGTGAGAAAGGAAAAAACACAGGAAAAACGAAAGGAAAAATCAACGGAAAAGCGTTATACAAAACGGAAGTGAAAGAAAAACAAATAGAGCAACGTCCAAGGGCCATATTCCATATATATATATATATATTATATATACTTGGTTTTATATATATTTCTATATATATATATAGATAGGGGCCAGGCATGCTAACCTGGACTCAGCGGAAATTCGGGCGGCTCGGCATGATCCGTGTCTGGACTGGAACGACCCTGGCTACTACTGCCACAACAACTACTCACTGGAGACGATCTATGAGTTGGTGTTAAATTAAATCCATTGTTTATATTTAATTGAGACGGTGTAGAACGTTTGCTATAAATTTGATCGGCAAGAGAATTGAAGAAAGAGCGATAACTAGAGCGCGGTGTGGGCGATGTCTGATGCCAAAATGGAATTGGTCTGAATTGTGTTTGTGAGTGTGATTGTGATTGTGAGTGTGCTTGTGTTTGTGTTTGTGTTTGTGTGCTGTGTAGTACAGTGTAGGTTGTGTGGTGCATTTGATGTATGGAATGTGAGTCATGATTGATTTAAAAAAAGAAATACATTATTATTGCAATTTATTTGTTGAAATTTGCTTCTTAATGAAATCAAACATTTATGCATGAGTGGGTTATAGAGAAACAGAGAGAGAGAGAGAGAGAGAGAGAGAGAGAGAGAGAGAGAGAGAGAGAGAGAGAGGGAGAGAGAGAGCGCAGGCAAAGCGGGTGCATGTTTGTCTTCTTTGTTTTTTACAGTGTATTCTGTGTCTGTGTTTTTGTTTTTTTTTTTTTGGTGTGTCTGGATGACTGCAGCTCTGTAGCACGCCCGAGTGTTGCAATTAGAGCCCTGCATCGAGTCAAACGAAACGCGTTTCGGACACTCGAACAAATGTTCCGTTCGAGCGGGGTAAGACTCACTTTTGAGCTGTTCGAGTTGCGGACAAAAAATGTACTCGTTCGATTTGAACGACAATTCTGTTCGATCGAACAACTGTGTTCGAGCTCGAATTTTGTTGGATCGAACTGTTCGAGTTGCAGACGAGGAATACACGAAACTTCTGTTCGATCGAACACGCTTCAAACTGTGTTCGATTGTGTTCGATTGTATTGTCCCACATAGACAACGAGTTTATTGCCCTTTAGCTTGAACATGCTGCCGCTTCGAACAAGTCGAACCACGTTTAATGAATATCTCTGGGTTTGCTGACTTGTATGTTCGAACACAACGTAGTTTGATACTAGAACGTTCGAGTCTGTCGGTTTTCGTTTGAATCAATTCAGAATTTGAGTTGTTTGCGAACGCATTAACCGATGCAGGGCTCTAGTTTTGGATGATTGCGTGTAATTACTGGACTTTGGGCATTTAGCATATATTTTTCTGTATTTTTTTTTGGCTGGTGCTTTTTGGCAACTGTTCTACAGATAGATAAATGCGTTGATAAAAGATACCTGGACTTCTTAGAGTTACGCTTTGGCTTATTGAACCACCAGTCGAACGTTTCTGATAACGAGGAGGCGCTATTCGGACTCTTTGGATCGTCCAGTTCGACATCCTCGTCCGTGTCGCAACTGGACTTGGCTGTGGGCGATTGCAGCGGTGAGACCGAGGAGCAAGCGCCCAGTTGCAACTGTTGCAAGTGTTGCTTGGGGGACTGTTGTTGTTGGAGTTGTTGCTGCTGCTGCTGTTGTTGTTGTTGTTGTTGTTGACTGAGTTGGCTGCTGCTGCTGCGAAAGCTCAGCTTGTTATTGTTTATGTTGCAAGTGTTGTTATTCAGCTTTTTGCTGTTAGAGCGCGACATGCTTTGCACCGAGCTGCTGCCAGTTGGCGCCGACGTTGAGAAATAAGCCGACGAGGAGCAGATCGTCGACACAGAGCTGGCCTTGCCGCCGCCGGCGGCGACGGCATCTGCTGGGCTGGTGCTGCTGCTCATGCTGCCGGTGGCAATCGCCGTCACCGTATTTATCGCACAGCGCGTGGCATTCAGCATTGAGGAAGCGGTCTGGGTATAGCATTCATCGGCCATCAAGGTGCTCGCCGTGGCGCTGCTGCTGAGGGCGAAGCATTCATCGCAGGCACAACCGGGCGGTATCACAAAGTCAAAGTCACGCTCGGACGAGTCCGATAAATTGTTCAAGCTGCCGCCCACCTGGCAGGCGGCGCAGGCTCTGGCTGATGTCGAGGCGCAGGCGGAGGCGGAGGCGGAGGATGCTTGGCAGGCAGAGGCTTGGGCTTGGGCGTGGGCATGCGGCATGTTGTGAATAATATTGGTAGTAGTTGAAGCAGTTGCTGTTGTTGTTGTTGTTGTTGCAGTTGTTGTTGATTTTGTTGTGAGATTGTTGTTGCATTTACCCTTAAGATCCGTGGGCAGCTGATGAAGATGGTGGGGATGGTAGTGCAGCGGATTGTTCTGGTGGTGCGTGTGCTGGTGTTTGCGCTGATGGCGCAGGCTCAGATGCTTCAGGCGCTGGTGGTGTCGACACGGCATGCTCTCATCGGGCGGGCCAGGACCTGGTACCGCAATTTTCGTATGCAATTTGGAGTTGAGTTGAGGTTCAGGTTGAGGTTGTTTTTACACCGATTATAATAAACGCAGTTGCATATTTTCTTTTTTTTCTTACAGCACAAATTAACACAAAGTTTGCTTTCAGTTCTTTCGGGGGAGGCAGGGTCGGACCAAATCTTAAAAACTATAGCATACATTTTGGGGCTATGCCAGAATGTTTCAATGGGCCCCTTAAGATATATATGTAGGTATATTGAGGTAAAAACAAAAATAAAGATACACTTTGATCCCGATATTCGATTCGATTTGATATGAACCAAAGCGAAAAGTAAACAAAATTAAAATATATATAATAAGAATGAAATTAAGAGATGAACTGAAATTCCAAAAATTAAAATAAATTTCATATGCACACACATATATATATATAGTATATATATATATATATGTATGTGTGTGTGTGTATAATATATTCAAACTCATGTGTGGGGGTTGGGCAATTTTTGTGGCCGGAAATGTAATTTGTAAAACCAATATAATAAAATTATAGATGTACATAAGTTCATGAACAACAGTGGAAAGAATGTGTGTGGCAAGAGAAAACTCATATTTTGTCGAATTATTTTCACTTCAATTTTCGTTTTTTTTGCTTCTCCGATTTTCTCTTGTGGGGCAATTCGAATATCATACAAATTAAATCAAATTTTGTACAGTGTAAAAGCGTTATATAAATTCATATTTTCTCACAACTAGAGCTAAAAAAAAAAAGAAGCGTGGCAAACATGTGAAGCACACACACACACACACACACGCACACACGCACGCACACACACACAGACATACACAAACACAGTGAAATGAGTGCTAAACAAATATTAGTAACAAAATGCACAGTTAATATTATTATATAATTATCATAGGAGGTGAGAGCGAAAGAGAGAGAACACAATGCGAACGATGCGATGTTTATTGTTAGCAAAAGAAAGGCTCGAACAACAACACACACAGACAGACACACACACACACACACACACACACAGACAGACAGACAGACACACACAGAGTCACATAAAGAAAACTTTTTTTAAATTTTATTTAATTAAGACGCACGCACTTAACTTAAGTAAATCATAGAAAAGTAAAAAGAAGTTAAACAAAAAATTTGGAAAAGAAAAACTTAAAAGAAAAAAGAACACGCGCGCTTTTCCTACTTTAATGTCTTTTTTAATCATATTTAAATTTATTAAATTAATTTAATAATTTAATTTATTAAATTATGTATGCACTATGATATACTTTTTTTTTTAAATATTTTTATTACTTTATGGTTTAAAAAGTTGAAGAATTTGTCTGCTTTTTGCGCAAGTTACACTTTTTTTCTTTCTTCTTTTTTTTTGTCTGTGAATGATTTAAAAACTAATGGGCTTTCACAACGAAATTTTGGCAACGTAGAAGAAGAAGAAGACGAAACGAATATATTGAAAATAATAATGAAAAGATTTACAATATTTAAGTAATTCATGTAAAATATACAAAGTGTTTTTTGTTTGAGTAAACAGGCCCAAAGAGCGGGCGCTTGGTAGCATATCATTTGGGGCTACAAGTTGTGTGTGTGTGTGTGTGTGCGTGTGTGTGTGTGCGTCTATGGTTTGTTAACTATATAGCATGTATATGTATGTGTGTGGGTGGGTAGGATATCTGGGTGTGTAGGGTATAGAATAGTTATTAGAGAAATGTACAACAAACGCAACACAAAATAAACAACGCAAATTCTCTTGACATTTCAATTGTTTTTAGTTCTAAACTTTAGTTCCATTGTTGTTGCTAATATTAAACATTTATCAACTTTTATTTATTTCTGTTTTTTTTTTTCGATTTTTTTTTTTTGGTCGTGACAGATGATTTGTGCGCATGAGTTTCAACATAAAGTTAAACAAATAAAAACAAAATTAAAAGTAAAATAAATAAAAAGGAAAACTCAAAAAAAAAGGAAAAGAATTCAAAAATAGAGTACAAGAAAAACAAAGAAAGGATAACCTTAATTGTTCAGCTGAAAATCGATTAGTTTTTAAATCAATTTCAAGGCTGAAAACGAATCCTTTGTAAAAAAAAAATTTTTTGTTGAGGCTGTTTTTGTTTAATTTTTTTTTTTTTATGGGTTAGTCAAATTTTAGAAAATGTCAGACATATAAACATGCCATATTTTGAAGAGATTGAAGTTATTTTGAACGTATCTCTTGAATTTGGCAAAGGACATAAAAAGGGAATGGGCCGAAACCTTGGGATTGTGTTTATAAATATGTATGTATATTTATGTGTAATAGTTCTTAATATAAACGGGCTTTTTGTTAGTAATTTGTAGAAAACAATAGAGGCGACAATATACGACTAAACTGTGTTTTTCTTTTGTTTTCTTTTCTTGAGAGCATTCCGTATAATATGAAATTTATGCTACCATCAGCTAAGAAAAGTTCTTAGTGATATAACTAAATAAAAAATATTTATGGTTTCGCTTGCTAAACTAAAACCGTTAACTAGTCTAAGCTAGGTCTAAGAACTGATTGGAACATTTAATGGGTAATGCGGCTAGTCGTCTAGGACTTACTGTTGTTGGCCAGCAGGTTCTCGTGCAGCTTATCGCGCTGATCCTCCAGCACCTCGCCCAGATACATGGCCACCTTGCGTGTGATTTGCTCCACGTACGTGTCCAGTTTGCCCAGATCGTCGGACAAGCCGACCAGCTGATCCAAGGTACCCACCTAAAATGAAGAGTATATATGGTTTGAGTACGTGGGGAATGATTGATGCAATGTAGAGGAGCTCACCTTCAGATCGGGTATATGGAACTTGTAGTTGCTGCACAGATTATGTTGCTTGCTGGTGAGGTTGTTCATCGTGTCGAACGTCTGTTGGCACGTCTTGTCGCCCGGCGCCGAAATAATCCAATATTCGGACATCATTTTGATAGTTGCTAAATGGAAATTGGAAATGTTAGTACATTAAAATATACACAAATTGCACACAGGAGAAGTCTGAAATAATTGCAAATGTTGTTGCTGAACTGTTGAATATTAATTTCTATGCTTTTCACATGATTTTCCTGGTGGAAATTCGTCGACTAAGTCTGCCATTTGCCTTAGAATTGAGTGCACAAACGTGCCATAAATTATTTCCATTATGTAATTTGAGCCAATATCGATTCAAAGTTCACATATATATATATATATATATATTTATGTACATATTAAAATGGCCTTTTAAAAGCCAAACAAACACATTGAAAACACGCATAAAAATTCAATTATTGACCTCCAAACTGTGGATTAGCCTAGCATTTAGATGCGATCGAACGTCAATATGCATTGCATTGGCCCTGGCAAAACAACAATACTTTTGTATATATGTGTGTGTGTGTGTGTGTGTGTGTGTGTGTGTGCATGTGCTTGTGTGTGTTCATTTTCATTTTGGGTCGCCTGCTAGACAACAAAGCGCAGACAGTTGGCGCCAATCAGACTTCGGGTCCTGTGCGCTGCCTCGAAGACACGGCGTATACGCAATATGCGCGCATTAAGTACAGTGAAAGCTCCATAAAAAGCATCATCAGTGTGAAATGTTGACAATGTTATTAAAAGTAGCTGAGTTGATTGTCTCAAATAAAGCTGCTAAATTAGTTATATTTTGGCTCAAACTTTTCTTTGATATAAGGAAAGATAGATAAATCAGTTAAAAATTTCAACATCAGGCTCAATTTTTGATTTACTTTTTGCCAAAAATAAATTGAATTCACAATATTTTTGAGCGGACGTCATAAAATAGAAAAAACTCTCAAATTTTCATAATGAATTATGATACATAATCACATCACATAATCGAAATTTTGTATAAATAAAGACACATTGTATATCTCCTTCATTTAGGAAAACTTTGTTCTCTGTAGGGAGCTTTCACTGTATTATGTTTGTATTTTATTATGGAAAACTCTGTTGCCTCTTAGGAGCTATCACTGTATTATGTTTGTATTATATTATGGAAAACTCTGTTCGCTCTAGGAAGCTTTCACTGTATTATGTTTCTCCAACTTACACTGTCCTAACAGGTTTTGGTGTTATAACAACAAAGTCAACAGCTTCTCAATTTGTATGAGTCGCAGCTGTTTGGTACATTTCTTGCCTTGTGTATTCTGTTGTTAACCAGATTCCCGATAAACAAAACTTGGCACTACGACGACCGACCGACCAGGGCAGCTACTGTGGCACACATGGCCCACAGCAGAAGAGAGAAAAGCCCGTGCGCACTCGTCGAAGGCTCGATGCAAAATGAACCGCCGAGGCGATGTTGGCGCCGCGGTTGCTGGCTGCCATATGGTTGCGGCCGAAATTTTTGTTGGTGCCACAAAGGCGCAGCCACGAAAGGAATCGATGACGAGGCAGCGTCACGCAAGCCGCCTGCCTGTTCAATTTGGTAAGTGTCGACCCCGGCGGTTGCTTTCGCTGCCCGCTCTAAGGTCAGCTGCGTATGAGTAATCATCTGGAGATACAAATCTAGCTTAGGGTCAATTTCGTTTTAGTAGTAGTCACTATTATTACATAACTTCATGATGGCCTTCAAAGACCACAAAAAAATATATATATAAAGAAATGTACATATGTAAGTAGAGCTAGCAGATACTCTGCGTTGTCTGAATTGCCACAACAAACGTATGGAACATTTATGTGCTTATCACAATAGGTGTGCTTTTTTAGAATCATGAAAATCGCATAGAAAGGCGATGGTGACTAGTGTGAAAATGCGAGAGCGAGAGAGAGGGAAACCTAACTATGAAAAGAGACACATTGTTATATTAGTTCGCATTTGAATGTGTGTGAGTATCACGTGAGATAACGATAATAATACAAGTTCAAATGCAAGAGCGAGAGAGAGACCCAAGTATAAAAAAACCTCAAGCTATCACTTGAGATAACGAAAATCGCATAGAAGAGCGTTCCACATTTACAGGGCACTTTCAATGACATGTAAATCATATATCTGATAAGTAAAGCCATACAGATAGACGGTCGGGCAGCCACCCGCAAAAACATATACAGGGTATACAAAATAAACAAAATGACAACAGAATTGGTCGCTGACCATCCCCAATAATCACCCCGCCATAACTATCCTGGCTTATCATCAGCCCCACCGACAACGTGAACAACAAGGACAACAACAACATTCAAGGCAGTGCATTGTCCTCAACCAGGAAACAAATGTGAGCCTGGCAACCGACGAAGGGGCAACAACAAAACGAGTCTATTTTTAGCACCAAACTCGAAATTGCTTTTATACAAATCACTAGCCAGTGTCGGACACCCCCCCCCCCCCCCCCCCTCCCTTACAGGGTGAAGTTATGCTTGCATACACATTCCATATGTACACACTTATATGTTTGCATGTTTATGTATTTTATTCTATGTTTCCTGCGGGGCAAGCGTGACGCATTCTGCTTATCATTCACATGGACAAAGTACGAAAAGCAACATTTGACGCTACTTTTCAGTTTCTTTTCATATTTGCCATTATCTAATTATATGTTGTTCTGATTAATTAAAAACGCCATTTTATGAAAAACAACTGCATAAATTGGCAACACTGTTTGCCAGATAACTGTAAACAGACGTAAATGATGTGGACACAAAACAGAAGCGAAGAGCAAGAAGAAGCGAGCATGTCGCCAGTCAGACTGGCCAACGGCTGGCACAAATGTGTGTGGTGGGATAGATAACGGGTTGAGGTGGAGAGCAGAGGAAGTTTGGTTTCAAAGGACGCCACACAGGAAATTGCACCGTTAGCTGATGACGAAAACAAAAATAGCAACTTGAATAACTGTGATGATGTTAGGAACGCGCACACACATACACGTACATGGTTATGTACATAGTAACTGCCGGCGGGGGCAGCGGGCGGGCGGGCGACCAAATTAATTAATATTAATGTGTGCTGTCAGGAAAAGGCATTTTCCTTGTCATTTGTTGACTGTCGCTAAGCCTTTAAAGTATGTGAAACCAGCAGCTGTTTTTTTTTTAATTCATTTTTTTTCTGACCAGCTGCTGACATTCGTGTTTTATTAGGCAAATATGTACGAATGCATAAGCATGTTTGACTTTTTGTTTCACATTTACGCCTGGTCAAACGCAGTCAAGGTCCTGACGGCACGCAATATTACTATTTGATGAAGTCCTTGTGTAACTGTGTGGCTAACAGCAGGTCGTCGTCAAGGAAAATACGGAAGAATACATCAATTTAATTAATATAAACATGTTAAATGATTTTCAAATTTTATGGCTGTATATTTTGTTTACGCAGAGACATAGAGAGGGAGAGAGCGAGAGCGCGTTAGAGCCGCATTCAGCCCAAGAGAGAGTATTGGCGAGAGAGAGCGAATACGCACTGAGGCAATTTACCACAGCTCGGCACAAACACACACACACACACACACACACACACACTAGCGTGGTGAGTTTGCCGCACTGTCAGCTGTTCGTGACAGTCACATGACAGCTTTTCGATCGATATTTTCTTTTCTTTCTCACAGAGTTTGAAGCATAAAAACAAAACAACTATATATTTGGCAACATATTTTCCAACACATAACACACACTAATGCCCACTGTTCGATTTTAGTTGCTGCCACTAGCCACACGAGCTGCCAGCTTTGCGGTGCGCCCCAAAAAAGTCGATGCCAAATGAACGAGGCAACAGTTTTTCAGGGTCATTAGGTTTGCACATATACAGAATCATTTCGCCTTTTTATCAGAGCAAATGTGGCTTTTAAACACTTGCAGAATGGTTAGACTCCCATTACACTGTACAGTTGGACATTTGATAACAGGTCAGCAGACCTGTTGTATTTTTTTTTTCTCATGCGCGCAATTGCTGCGTTGTCGTTTTCCGCACAGAAACTGGCATTGTTAATGCAATCACTTACATTTAAACGGCACTAATACACGTCAACTCGTATATAGAGAAAACACTGCTTTAACTTTGTGCGTTGAAATTGTTTTTTAAAAAATATAGGAAGCAACGCAACCGCACCACCCACAATGCACGTACGAACGGAGCACAAGTCTCTGATAGAAACTCAACACGAAAATGACAATTCACAATTTCGCATAAGATTCACGTGATAAATGGCGATGACGATAAAATATCGATTTAAGCACCGCTTCGGCCTGGGGTATACACTCCACCCAAAAACAGCTGTTTAGCATACAGTCGTGTGTACACACTGCTCGGTCTCTATGTAGGCGCCTACGCTACGTGCCTAATTATTAAAGTTTAGTTTAGTTAATTCTATTATTTGGACCAATTAAGGTGGCACTAGCGTACCAAAATTTGTAAGTGAGTGTAAATAATTTTCGTTTAGTGCACACTGCTTAAGACAAATTGAAGTATCTCTGTTATGAAGTTCTAACAGAATTTGTGATAACTACTTAGAAATTAAAGCGTTCGTGTGGGCGTTTGTTATTAAACAATAGGATGTAAGTAAAATTAAATAATTTACAATATAACAATATGTTGTTACCAAATCTATACAAGTTTCTACTTACTCTGATTGCCACTTTCTGACATTACGCATCCATTTCATTCGTTTCATAATACAATTGCATATGCTTCAAGTACACATAACAAAAGGTTCTGTCGGACACGTGCGCTAACATTATGTATAAGTGAGGGGGGACTGTCCAACCTTTAGCCTGCTATGATTTTGCAAAAAAAAGAAAAGAACAAAAAAAATACAGCGATGAGTCAAGCAGCCTTTCAGCGAAACAATTAGCCAAGCGAATGTATTGTGTACACAAAACGGACGCAAAACAATTCCTATTTCCAGTGAGCACTTTCCAATTAGTCTGTTTACTTAACATCTCCTCCAGTGGCTATAAATAAACCGAGACAATGGTATGTGTCTCTTCCTCATTGCATAAACAGTGCGCATTGCATTTCCATAACATTGAACCCTAACACCAATGCTCAGCTGAGAATGGGAATGGGAATTTGAATGGAAATGGGAATTTGAATGGAAATGGAAACAATAAAGCTCAAGTACATAGAAACTTTGGATATGGCTTTGTCCACTTAGCCGGCAGTCGCCGTCGTCATTAATGGACGCTTATCAGCCTGGCAATCGTTCGATCAACGCTACGGATCTTATCTCATCTCACGGCGCCGCCGCAGTCCGTAGTCCAGTGGAGCGCAATTGCTTTGATCAGCTGTACGTGGTGTCTGTATCTGAGCGATAAATAGTTATTAGTGCATACCCTGCATGTACTGAAAACGGGTAAATCTGTTTTTTGGCATACGTAAATAACTGGAAGCATACAAATCTATAGCTTACTCCAACTAGTCTCGCGTATGTCCTTACGTCATATTTGGAATGTGCGGATCGAATTTGTTTCAAACTATCGATAAACGATCACTTATCGATAGTCTAAACATTTTCTTAACGATTTTCGTATAGTATCCCCGCTGCACTTGACACGCGCTCCGCGTTACGCTCTTTCCAATTGCCTGCCGCTCTGTCTGCGTCGCTGTCGCTGTTGACGTCGACGGCGCCGTAAACGTCTGCCGATCATAAGCGCTGCCGCTGCTGCTGCTCGCGCGGCGCTGTTCAGTCTGCAAAGTAATTCGCTTGAGTGTGCTACGCGCTACGCAGGCAACCAAATTCGAAACTAAGTCTAAATCAAACGTTAAAAGTGAAAACAGATATAAAAAAAATAAAAAAAACTACACATTTTTGATTTCTTGTGACAGGTGCTAACAGTAACGGTAAACATGACACTGTTCACTTGTGGGACAGGTGCTCGTTATCAGTTATACAATATTGACCGTTAGACGGTGACCTACATACCCCAACCCTCACCTATGGGCTTGACCCAGCCCCAAAAAAAAAAAAAAACAGAGTGACAAAAGCAGAGCAGCAATAAATTTAAATTAGTTGTTTTTGCAGTCGAATATTGTGCTAATAGCTATTTAGCAAGTTTTAAATAATAATAATATATATATATTTATATTATTTACCAGAAATTAATTAGATTAGGCTTTAAAATAAATCAGGTTTTTGTCTTAGGTTGACTTTGAGTGTCTAGACATGATGTATATGGTAAAAATTTTGAAGGGTTTGCGAAGACAAAGTATATAAACTTAATCAGATTCGATCAGTCCATATTCGTCTGTTTATATATATATAATTACTATATCTTATAGTTTCCAAATGAACAATTCAATACAGTCATATACTTAAAAGAGTATTTCATATTCGACATTCCCGTAACTCCCTTCTCTTGATTTATAGAGTTTATAAAGTGTCGTTTGTTATGCAAAAACAAAAAGTAGAATATTTGAAAAGATAATTTCACAAATTTTATGTCTTTATGAAAATGAATTTCTTGAACTCCTGACCTTGGCACTAAGAACCGAAAAAGCATAACTAATCTTTTTTCATGGGCTGCTTAAACTTTGTGCACTATTTTTATCCAGAACTTTCAATTAATATGAACTCAAAATTGTAACAAAATTAAAAAAAAAAGAAAAAAAATGAATACCTAAACTTGGGTTGGGTCTGCTGCGACTTGGTTTAGTTGTTGTTGTTGTTGCTGCTTCTGCTGTGTGTGTTCTCTTTAAAGTAAGGTTCGACTACTTGGAGAAAGTTTCTCCAACTGATTTTTAGTGCTTCTGATTGTTGTTGCTTTTGCTGCTGGTTTTTAGGTATAATGTTCGTCTCTCCGTCCGTCTGCGTTCGCATTTGTACGCTACTGGCGTCAGTGCTGCCAACTGTTAGCCGAATCCCCCTGTTAAAAGTAGCTAAAAATAGCTGTATTCGCTTTCAGAGCACAAATTGGCCATAAATCCGTTTTAAATATCAATTGTTTCCGGCTGCTGACCTCTGAAAATAGCTAACAGCAGCTATAAATTAGTTGAATTGGCAGCACTTCGCATTTGCACGCTACTGGCGTCAGTGCTGCCAACTGTTAGCCGAATCCCCCTGTTAAAAGAAGCTAAAAATAGCTGTATTCACTTTCAGAGCACAAATTGGCCATAAATCCGTTTTAAATATCAATTGTTTCCGGACCTCTGAAAATAGCTTAACTCAGCTCTAAATTAGCTGAATTGGCAACACTGGCTGGCGTGTCTGAAAAGCTCGCGCCGCACCGCAGCGAAATCGAAATCGGAATCACTGGGTTCCATGGTCGCAGCGACGCGACTGCGCTGCCTCTGCCGCTGGCAACATGCGTGCGACGTCGCTGCGCAGCGCAAAGTTTGCGCTCTTGCGGCACACGGTCAAAGCAGCTCGAGCGTGCAACAGGTGGCGATTATATGCGGCTGTTGATTTTGGCGTTTGCCCCCCACCCAAGCAATTTGTGCTTCGCCCAGGTATTACAAGCAATATGCATAACTAAAAGACGAATTATTTTCTGATTGCGCAGAATATCAAGAGGTGAAAGTTGTGACGACACATGTGGCACTTGGACGTGTGTGTGTGTGTACCTTGTTTGTTTAAAGCCCATTTACCAATATATACATACCTATGTATGCATATGTAGTCCAACATATCAGTAAATGTTTTTAAATATTTGCAGCGCTCAGGTATAACAGGACTCTCTCTAAGCCAAGGACCAACTAGAATATTAATAAAGCCATGTCACGAAATTGGCCCGAAAATGTTGGTATACGCGCCATTGAAGTGCTTTTTCCCTCGCAGTATGTGGACCAAACGGAATTGGAACAGTTCGATGGCGCCTCTGCGGGCAAATATACAATCGGCCTGGGCCAATCAAAAATGGGTTTCTGCTCGGATCGCGAGGATGTCAACTCGCTTTGCCTGACGGTTGTCGCCCGTCTCCTGGAACGTCATCATATCAAGCACACGGAAATCGGTCGCCTAGAGGTGGGCACCGAAACGATAGTCGATAAATCGAAATCGGTGAAATCGGTGCTAATGCAATTGTTTGCGGCGAGTGGCAACACTGACATCGAGGGCATCGATACCACAAATGCCTGCTATGGCGGCACCGCGGCGCTCTTCAATGCAGTCAATTGGATCGAGTCGTCCAGCTGGGATGGACGCTACGCGCTCGCCGTGTGCGCCGATATTGCCGTCTATGCCAAGGGTGCGGCACGTCCGACCGGCGGTGCCGGCGCCATTGCCATGCTGGTGGGACCGCACGCGCCGCTGCAGCTCGAACGTGGACTGCGCGCGACTCACATGGAGCACGCCTATGACTTCTATAAGCCCGATCTGAGCTCCGAGTATCCGACGGTCGATGGCAAGCTGTCCATACAGTGCTACCTCTCGGCGCTGGATACCTGCTATCGCCTCTATCGCCAGAAGTTCGAGAAGCAGCAGCCGCAACAGTCGCAGCTGGGCCTGCAGAACTTTGATGCCATTATCTTCCATACGCCGTTCTGCAAACTTGTCCAGAAATCCGTGGGACGTCTGAGCTTCAATGATTTTCTGCTGTGCAGCGAACAGGAGCGCGCCGAGAAATTTGCCGGCTTGGAGCGCTTCAATGCAGCCACACTGGAGGGCAGCTATTTTGATCGGGATGTGGAGAAGGCCTTCCTCACGCAATCCGCCGAGCTGTTCGCCAACAAGACCAAGAAATCGCTGCTGCTGGCCAATCAGGTGGGCAACATGTACACGCCCAGCGTCTATTCGGGTCTCGTCTCGCTGCTAATCAGCGAACCGGCCAGCCAGCTGGTGGGCAAACGCATCGCTGTCTTCTCCTATGGCTCCGGCCTGGCCGCCTCCATGTATTCCATCAAAGTAACACAGGATGCGTCCGTTTTTGAGAAGTTTGTGTCCAAACTGGACTATGTGCTGCCCCTGTTGAATGCACGTGAAAAAGTGGCGCCCGAACAGTTCTCGGAGCTGATGGAGGTGCGCGAAAAGAACAATCATGCGGCGCCCTATACGCCCACAGGCAGCATCAGTGCCCTCTTCCCGGGCACCTACTATCTAAAGGATGTGGATGCACTGCACAGGCGCAGTTACGAGCGCACGCCCAGCAACATCAGCAACGGAGTGCATTAGCCAAGAGCTAATCCGGCATTAACTAAGCTACTTAACTTGACAATAAACTAACACTTACTGCTAAACTGGCTGCTAAACTAGCTGCTAAACTAATCTGTTGTAAAGCTTTGGCTGGGAACAAAATCCCTTGACTTCTTTTTTAAACTTAGCTACGTTGGTGGATTTGGTTGTCTCTATGCAATATTAATTTTATGGCCTGGCTTATTATCATTTTCATAAAGTCCGCTTTTATTTATATCATGCCCGAACGCAAACGGAATCAGTGTAAAAAATTCCTAATATTTTTAAAACTCTGAAACTGTACAATAAAATACAATTAAAATCGTATTTATACAATATGCATAGTGAAAGCATATAAACGTTTGTAAAGTGCAAATAAACAAGAAATTCAAATACAATTATTCTTGCCTTTTTCTTTCACACAGTTTCAGCTTGACATGTGGAATGGACTTCTTGGCTTAAATTCGTTTAAAATACGTAGAAGTTGCTCAAATCAAATTCCCAGCGCCGTAAACTTGTAGAAGTTGACACCTAAAATGAACAACATAAACAACATTATAAACGTTGCGTTCGAATCAAACCAACTGCGCAATACTCTGTTCACAGAAGATATTCATATGAACAGAGTATAAATACAGCAAAAATAAAAGGAAATACCGTTGGGAATAACGCGTGTATTGAAATGACTCTCCGGTCTAAAGACGCCCAAGTTGCTATTCGGCTCAAACAAATCCTGAAAGCAAACAGAATATGACTAAAACTATAGGGTATTAAGTATTGCAAGCGACTCACCTGTACGCCGTAGCCGTACACATTGTTCAGCGACAGCTATAGAAAGTTGATACATAAGTAATATAGATAATAACAGCGAGAAATTTATATAATTACATCTTTAAGCGTAAATGATATGGCATATGGCGCGCCGTCCACACGACGGCTGACAAAAGCCACGGCGTAAGAGTATTCGGCATCGGCTGTCGGTGTTATGGGACGACGCCAGACCTGTATACACGATAGTATAATTAATATACGATAGCTAAACTTGGCCAAAAAGTTACCTCAATATTATTTTTCATGAGCAAACGTCGGCCCTGTATGCCCAGCGGATCCTGATTGACAGCAATTACGGCCCTGAATTAAGAGATTATACAGATCGATTTTAGATTTATAAGAATATGACTAACCGATTTTGCAGGATATCCTTGATTTCTGGTCGCACCTTGGCCAAATCATTGGACATTATCAGGGGTGCCGCCAGCACAGCCCAAATGGCCATTTGCAATTTGCTTTGATCATAGCTTAAACCATAATTGCCAAGCAGCAGCATATCCGGATCGTTCCAATGTCCTGGTCCAGCATGTGGTTGTATGCTGTCCTGATTTTTGCCAAAGTAATCAATTATCTGCATGACCGACTCCAATGAATCGTCAATATCATCCCAGTTGCGCCACAGATTGCAGTGTTTCTTCAGGGATTCATATTCGGGCATTTGGCCAACTTCTGACTGGTACGCAGGCCTGCACACAAAATCAGTTAATAATCATATAGTTTATATGTATATGGATGGTGCCTCTCACCAGCTGCAGGAATAGACCATGGGCCTGCCTGTTGAATTAAGCAGTCGTCCGAATTCGGGATAACCGGCAGCCATGTCGCTTATATTGGCATAGCAGCCGTCCAACTTGACATAGTCAACATCCCAATTGGCAAATGTTGCCGCGTCGAGTGCCATGTGATTGATGACGCCCGGATAGCCGGCACACGTATTTGTGCCAAAGTCCTGGTACAAACCAAACTTAAGTCCTCGTTCGTGTATCTGAAAGGTAACACATGACTAGAAGACTTGTTCAGGCTGGATGCGTTTACTCACATGATCGGCCAGCACGTTCAAGCCATTGGGAAAACGCTTGCGATCCGGCACAAGTTTCTTTGTCTTGTTATCCCGGTCCTTCTCCAGCCAACAATCGTCAATGATGACATACTCGTAGCCAACATCAGCATAGCCCTCGGAGACAATTAAATCCGCGTGGCGCCGGAACAGCTGCTCGCTATAACGAAAAAGCCGGATAACACCTGCCAGTTATATATGATTATATACCTTATGCATTCGTCGGGATAAGTTTTGCAGTCGGTTATGCAGCGAAAGCGCTGCCAGGACATCCAGCCCATGGGTGGTCTGTAACAAAGGATTCATTTAGCACAAGAAATTTGAATTTTACTTTTCAATTCCCTTACTTGAGTGCCAGGCCATTGTCCAGTGCTGAACCACCTTGGAGCAACTGCAGCAATAGCAACAGAAATCCGGCCACAAGGTTCAACATGCTGTACATGCTTCGCCGAGCTGTGTGCAGGGAATGCGTCCTGTCCAGGGCACGTTTATGGTTTTATAGTTGGGCGTAGAGTGTCTTGTGGCAGTGACAATCTGTAGATAAATTGTTACCTGTTTGCTTACCTTGCGCAAACAGCAAGTGGCAATTGTTAACTGTAATTGCAGAGTACACACATTGACTGAACGCACTCCGTTCACAGCAGTCGAGCACAGCAGGGAGACAGCCTTTGTTGGAAGGCTCCTTATCAGCGCTAGTGTGCGCAAGTTCAGGCGCTCAAGCGTTGCAGGTTATCACGATGCCTAGTTTAGCCTACTTACACTAAACTACAAAAGTTCGTCGCTTCTATTTCATCATTGTGGGAAGATTGCTAAAAATAAAAAGTGCACTTATCTGTTATAATACATCTATCTATTCATAATTCATTCATTTAAAAACTAATTTACAATAACTTTGCTTTGCGCTTATTTTTGTAGTACAATTTAGTCGCTTTTGTCACACACACACACACACACTCTTAGTTAAATAACTGTATGTTGCATTATGGCGACTGACTCCCATTGGAAAGTAATGGAACTCAAGTGTTCGTAATTGAAAACAGAAAAACTGTTATTAAAGTCTTGACCCAAATGGCATTTTATCAACCACTTAAAGATAAAAACATATCTGATGCGTATTGACAAATCGAAACATGCAACAATAATTAGACACGTACACTGCAAATCCCAATATACAATTATGCTATACAGCTTTTCAATTAACTTTTGTGAGCGGATATTTGCGCGGGCGGTTTAATTTGCGATTGGATTTGTTATTGTTAATTCATGTAGAACACGCGCTAAAAAATACCAAAAGCCTACTATGCGTTTTACAGCACTGCTCAGCGGCACAGAATTATCGATAACGTTTCATCGTAAAACAAGCTGCATTGCTTGTTCATTAAATTTAATTAATTTATTTTATTTGAAGCGTAGAAAAATGGCATTTCAATTGCCCACGACAACTGCAGCGAGCGCGCCCAGCTTTTCGTTCGGCTTGAACACCGCACCAGGAACTGTTAATACCGGCGCCGCAGTTCCCGCCAAACCGGCCACATTTTCATTTGCCGCACCATCGCAAGCGGCTAATGCAGGCGGTGGCGATGCGGACGCCACAAAATCGGCAGCGCCGCCACCGTTTGGCGGCTTCGGTTTGTCGGTAACACAATCGGCACCAGGCCTGTCAAATCCACTCACGGGCCTTGGCGGCGGTGGACTCGGTGCAGGCGCTGCGCCAACAGCAGTGGGTGCAGCCGCACCAGCCGCTGCAGCAGCGGCCGCCTTTGGGGGATTTATGGCCCAGCCGGCGGCGGCGGCTGCATCTGTCACCACAACAACAGCAGCAGCCACAACAGCCAATCCACTCGGCGGCGGCGGCCTCTCGCTGGGATTGACCACGACACCCAAAAGCACAACAGCCATTGCACCGGTCGCAGCCGCCCCTGTAGCCTCACTCGCTGGCGCAGCACCTGCCGCTGGAGCTGGCACTTTTGCAAACTTGTCCACAGCGACCAAGACTACAGATTCGTCAACGGTTGCGAATGCTACACAATTGTCGTACAATCAGCTCGAGGAGCACATCAACAAGTGGACGCTGGAATTTGAGGAGCAGGAGAAGGTCTTCACCGAGCAGGCAACGCAGATAAACGCCTGGGACAAACTGCTCATTGGCAACAATCAGAAAATCATCGAGCTGAATGATGCCGTGCAAAAGGTGAAGAACGATCAACAGGTGCTCGATCAGGAGCTGGAATTCATTGCCACACAGCACAAGGAGCTGGAGGAGAGTCTGGCGCCGCTGGAGAAGGAATTCACAAGCTTGCCGCGCGTGGATCAGGAACGCAGTCAGACCTATCTGATGGTCGAGAATCTGGATACGCAGCTCAAGCAGATGTCCGAGGATCTAAAGGAGGTGATTGATAATCTGAACGAGGCCAACAAGGGCCAGGACAACACGGATCCAATCATACAAATTGGCAAGATCCTCAACGCGCACATGAACTCCCTGCAATGGATCGAATCGCAGTCCACGCACATCTGCAAGAAGCTCGACGACATTGGCAAAATACACGAGTCCCAAAAACGCGACATCTTTCGCGCTCCATATTAAATCTGAATAAAAAATCATTTGTATTTGTTATTAACAATTGTATGTATACAGTAAAAGTTCACCTAACGAACTGGTTTCTTGGGCGGAATCCTCATGCAGCCGGAGAAATTCTCCTGTCCTTCAAAAGTGGCTTCCATCAAGCTCTTTTGCTCCGAAACGGCGGCTACTTCCTGCATATAAGCCCTTCAGAGGGCATCAAACGGGATTCCATATTTAAATTTATTCATAATTATCGTACACAGGAATATGTAGAATAAAAAAGTATAAATTTAAGGCATATAAAATCCGTCAACATTCGCTCCTCCGCCCTATTAATAATTCTTGAAGTACTTAAGTCTAAACATGGGCGCCTTTTTGCCCCTGCAGCCCAGTGCGAAATAGCCGCTGTTGGGCGAGAAGGCAATGGTGTTCACGTGGCCCAGCTGCTCGCTCTGACCCGGGAAATTGGCGTAGACTGTGGCGCTGGGAAAATGCGCCATTTTCAGCGCATTAGGCACCTGGCGCGAGCCCATGGCCAGCAGCTCGGAGGTGTGGTTGAAGAGTAGATCCGTGATGCCCGTGCGCAGATTCATGAAACGCTTCTCCGGCTGCGGCACGGTCGACTTGTAGATGCTCTCGTAGTCGTACACATTGACCACGCCCTCGTTGCTGCCGGTGGCCAGCATGCGTTGATTGGGCGACAGCTGCAGCACCCGGCCGCTGACGCAGCCATCATCGATGAAACTGTGCTCGATGCAGTTCTGACGCAGCGACAACACGTTCACATTGCACTCGGAGCTGCTGCAGAGCAAACGCTGCGAGTCGGCCGTAAAGCACATGCCACGCACCACACCCTCCTGCTTGAAGCTGTGCAGCAGCTCGTTCGTGTGGCTGGTCAGCAAATGAATGGCGCCAAACTTGCCGGGCGCTGCGATATATTTGCCGCAGGGCGAGACCTCAAAGCGACGAAAGTAGCGTATGCTGCGGGGCAGCATCAGCTTGGTTTCCTTGGCCTCCAGCAGATCATATGAATAGTAGAAGGGCCTCAGCGAGCCGAAGAAGGCTTTGGTGCCGCAGGGCGTGATCCGGGCACAGGTCAGTGGGAACTTCTGAAAGCGCATGCTATGCAGCTTCTCGTTCTTTTGCCCGTCCACGCTGTAAATGCTGGCCAGGCAGCTCTCGCCGGCAACTAGTGCAGCGGTGCTGGTCGGATGGAATTGGATGCTCGACACGCAGCCCTCGCTGTAGGTGGCGCGATTCAGATCCTTTGTGCGCTTAAAGTTCAACGTTTTGGGCTGCAGGCCCTGCGCCTTGGCCTTGCGATCAATGAAGCCCACGGTTTTGAGCAGTGGTTCCTCCTCAGATTCATCTGAATCATCTGCATCCTGCTTCTGTTCCAGCGACGCCCACTTCGGCTGGTTGATAGTGCGTTGAAAGCGCGCCGTCAAATATTCCTTGTATGATTTGTCTTTGCGCAAGTGCGTCAAGGGGCCCGAGTGTCGCGTGCGTCGCTTCACCTCGCCCACTTCTAGGTCCTCATCGTCCGAGTCTGTCCAGGCGGGTTTGTGTTTCTTGGCCGTCTCCTCTGCTGTGTCCGCCTCGTCGTCAGCAGCTGCCGCTGCCTTACTCTCGCTGTCGCTCTTGGCGCGTTTCTTGCCCACCGACTTGGCCAAGTTCGATAGAAACGTTTGCTTATCGCCGAAAATCAACTTTTCCGTGGGCACCTCCACATAGGCTGATTCCACTTCGTCCGCGCCCGACTTCCGTCTAGTTTTGGGCGGTTTGTGTTCATGCTTGGCATACATGGCCATCAGCTCCTGCAGGTCCTCCAGGCCATCACTAGACTCGTCGTCGCTCATTTCGATATTTATTTTTTTAAATGCACTTAATTTCTGCTGTAATTTGCGTTTAAAGGAAATCCCGACACAGTAGAAGTATTTTGACCGCACGTGTGTCTACCAGGGCTGGCTAACAATATTGCAAAACATCGATATTGTGAATACGATGACACGATGTATATATATTATCGATACTTTATCGAAATTCAAAAAATTATGCGCCAAATTGTGAGCTCTTGTTGTGTAGCTAAAACGTTTTTTTTTTGTTCATTAAAAATTAGTTAACATATTCAAACAACGGCAGCTCTGCTGTTTCCGCCCTTGAAACATTGCTCTGACTGTGAATCGAACGTTTGGGTAGCTTGGTGGGGCGGCGACAGCGTGCCCGCAAATGCAAGTGGATGAAGCGCAGCAAATTAAATATGTCCAGCAAAACATTGAAGACAATAACGTAGCCCATTTGCACCAGGCCCATGACGCTGACGCCAACAAACAGGGCCAGAACACCGCCAAAGGATACTGCAAGACAACAAGACCAGGTTTCAAAAGTTTGGCCCATAAGCTATGTGCAGCTCTTACCAATCAGATCCTCAAAACTGAAAACGACATCCCGCCGGAAGCGCACCTTAGGTGGTATCAGATCCCAGCGAAAGCTTGAAGTGGCCGTCTCAACGCTCGCCGCCTCCTCATTGCTCTTCATGCCCCACGAGCTCTTCTTCATCGTCTGCATGGTGTACTCGATTTCCGTGCAGGTCGATGGACACTTGCAAATGTGCAGCGCCCAGATGGGCCACTTGAAGTCCAGTAGGCACTCAAAGCCCGCCGGATTGCAGCTGGGTCCCTCCACAAACGGATAGAAGAAGGGCACACAATTGCACATCTCCAGCGCCATGATGGCGCGACAGCGCGCCAGGCACAACGACTTGCTATAGATCTGCGGGAAGAGAGTTCTTCGACTGTGAGGGGTTAGGGATGCGAATATCGACTCTACATGCCTTGAGATTGGAGGTTTCCTCATCATTGAAAACGCACTTGCGCTGCTCCACGCTAAGTTCCCGCAGGTTCTTCGAAGCTCTGCAAAAAGTATTATTTAAAAATGGAAGAACTATTGCTGGAGAGGATCACTTACACCGTCTCGAGCACCTTAAAGGAGGCTGTTATTTCATCCGATTTGTGCAGAGCGACAATGTTTGCCTCCGTGGCAGACACCTCATAGGGTGAGTGCACATCCAGCTGAAAGGAAAGACTTCAATTAGTAGACCACAGACTATGTACACATACATATATACTAACCACGCCCGTGCTCTCGTAGAGATCCATGCGTATATAGCACTGTTGCTTGCCGTATTGGCAGGTGAGCGGCTCCTGCAGCTGCTCGTACTGCACGGGTCTGCCGGGATCATGATGTTAAAGTAAAAGAATAAATAAATAACCTGCTGGTCAGCTGCTACTCACTTCTTGCCCAGCACCGCGGACATGGGTGAGTTGATGGCATAGCAGGAGCCGCGCTCCGTCATCACCATCTGCACATGGACCTTGAAGTTGGTATCAAAGCTGCTGATGACCTGCTCGAAGGGTCGGTTAATGGTCTGAATTATGTCGTACAAATCAATCTGATCGAAGCGCTCGTCGCTCGCAAACTTGGTGAGCTCCGCGTAGTTGCTGGCGGTGGCATTGACGACCGCATAGAGAAAGTCCATGATGTAAAAGTAGTCCTCATCAATGATGGACACATTCCACTCCTCCTGTATCAGCTCGTTGGCCTTGAACGAATCGATGTGGTCATAGTAACACAGCGTTACCGCCGGCAGCGACCCATTCCAGCCCCGATAATCGCGATCCACCGAGATGACCGTGGGCGAGGTCAGATACCTCGCTATCTGCACCTCGCTGAGCATGTAGACAGCAAAGACGCTGCCCAAGATCACCAGGAACCAGAGTAAGCTGCAGGGAATTAGATCCAGAGCTGTGATTACCCAAAACTCTAGCTCTTATAATATACAAGATATGCTTAAAAACTAAGCTAAAAATCGATTTTTATCGATTTTGCAAGAGCAGGGTAAGCTATAGATAGACCAACAGAACTGGATCATTACGGAGTTCATCCTGATCGAGGATGGACGTCTTCTTCTGCCTTAAATGTACAGCTACCTGTGGGCTCTAGCTCTTATAATATACGGAACATGCTTAAAGACTAGGCTAAAAAACCGATATTTATCGATTTTGTTTAAACAGGAAAAGTTATCGTTAATACATGTCTTGTTCTCGGCGTCTACAGGGCCACATCACTGCGAAGTTCATCCTGGTCGAGGATTGGCGACGTCCTCTTCTGCCTTCAGCTTACAGTTATCCATGATATCCCAATTCTAGCCTAGATTAAGCCGCCGTCACCCGCTTACCGCTCGGCCATGTGCAGGCCGCGATTGACCGTCAGGCGTATGGCCAGCAAGCTGGTCTCGTCGCCCGCCTGGGCCGTAACATCCCGCAGACGAGCGCTCAAAGCGCGGAATAACCGCAGTAGAAGGCAGCCAATGACCAGCAGCCAGTGCCGCGTCCAGGCGGAGCAGCGTTTCAGCATGAGTAGCAGGCGTGAGCGCATCGTCAAACGAAATAAAATGCCAAAAAATCCGGTCAAGCTTCATTTATTGAATGCGCCTTTAGACAAAGCCCCGGAGCGATTTATTGCCCAGATCGATTTGTATCAGGAATATAACAATGACCAGCAAAGCGTTGACAAACTGCCGTAGAACAAAGCATTAGAGATTGGGTTTGTGATTGCGTAAATGTGTCGGCACTTACCCCGCCCAGCGCAAGGGTGTCCAGGTCGACAAGCCCACAGGCGGCCGGGGGTTGGGCTTGATTAGTCTGGAGTTGGAGTAGAAAGCGATTAATGGAACGTTCTTCGCGCGTGTCGCTAGCCTCCAGCTGGTTGAGCAACAAAAAAAGCTGGCATTTCTAGAAATGGGAGTGGAAAAGGGTTGGTTATTAGAAGTTAGGTATCAATGCAGTCGACTCACCTGCTCAACGATGCGCTCATTGGCCCTGAGCACAAACCAAATGCGTGCGCCATGCAGCAGCAGCCACAAGGAACGATAACAATAGAGCACCCAGTCGCTCAATTGCGCCAGCTCGAGCAGGCGAAACACGTTGAACACCTCGTACGAGAGGCTCAGCAGCGAGTTGCCAAAGCTGAGCAGCAGCACGAGTCCAAACCGGGCCAAGAGTTCAGCTTGAACGCCATCCAAGGCGACGGCAACCAAGCGTAGCTGCTCCAGCGACTGCGACTCCAAGGCCAGGACACAGATGCCAACGGGACGCCCATGCAGCTGTGCTAGGCGCTGGTTGAGCTGCGCATATAACAGGCAGAGCAGTCGATGTGCCAGGACATATTGCAGCAGGCTCAGGCTGATCATCAAGCTGGGCAGTTGGTGGGCACAGTTGCTGGGCACGCTCAGACGCCAGTCGAAGTCCAGCCAGGCACTGTCCACCACAACGCAGACTGCATGAAAGCCAATTATCAAGCAGAGCAGCCGCAGCACATGCTGCTCCAATCCTGTGAAGAGCTGACGCGCTGCAGCAGGCGCGTGCTCGAAGAGCAGCGCCTGCAGGCGACACAGCTGCAGCCAGAGGCGTCTATAGAATCGTGCGCTGCGATAAACCCGCAGCGAGAATAGCGCCGTCAGCAACATGTTCGCCGGGTACTCGGCAAAATAAAACAGCTTCTGTATGGTCAGAACTTGCTTGTAGAACTTCATGGTGATCAATCGGTTCAGCGTGTAGAACCAAACGCAGCCCAGCAGCAGCAAGGACCAGACCAGGTGTAGATATGCCAACCGTTCGCCGGGCGGGGAAACGCCCAGCCAGCGGCTAAGGCCGAGCAGCAGGCGCAGGCCTATCCGTCTATCGCTCCAACTGCTCATGTGTGGGGCGCCAGGTAAACTGAATGCCCATTATAATTATAATTGCAAAGTATTTAAGGAGTTTGATTAATGATGCGCCAGCTGTCCGGATGTGCCTAATTGCAGTTAATTGAAAGGCGTAAAAACGCGCTTGACCCAAACATCATGTTGCAGCTCAAGTTGAAGCAGGCGGCACGCGAGAAACGCCTCACGGCTGCCTGGTCACAGCCCCAGCAAGGATCCACAACGACGTGGAAGCAGCAAAGGTATGGCTAGTAGGCAGTTGGGTTGACGGCTTGAGGGAATCTCTGTGTCCCTTATTGGGGATGGAGACAGCAACCGGGTTGTGCCAGATCTTTTCGGTGCAAGAGTCTTGCGTCCTCATTAGGGAGCTCTGTGGATGTCCAGCCAGATCAAAGGATCCTCGTCAAGAGTAATTTTTCCCTTCATCTGGGAGGTCGAGCAACTATTGTTTAATTAGCATCTCGGTCAGAATGTCCTCTCCCTCTCCACCTCTCTTTTTTAGCGAAGGTATGACCACTTAGTTGGGATGCTGGTTGGGTTGAGGGCTTGAGGGGATCTCTCGCAGCATTGGAGGTGGAGAAAGCAACTGGGTAAGGCCAGAGCTTCTTCGACAAGTGTACTGAGTCCACATTATGGAGCTAGATCCTTCTGTGAATGTCCAGGCATTAGTTGAAAGCGGGGGGAAAACTCAGATCAACTCAGAATCTGGAAGATCAAGCAACTATAGTTCAATTAGCATCTCGGACAGAATGTCCTCTCTCTCTTCAGATTCAATACATACCCAACTAATACTTGTTACATAAATCCTACCCAGGAACTGGAATCTAACACAGCAGCTGTACAAATCGAACGCTGAGCAGTTGCATCAGGAGCTTCGGCTGCTGCTGCTCATCTGCGTGCTGGCTGGCAGTGCGCCCCTGGCTGTATTTCCACGCTGCTCGAGCCGCGTCCATGCTGCAGTGCAGCATGCCTGGCTGCTGGCCCTGTACATTTGGCTTTGCTGCGCCGCCTACTTGGAGCTGGCGGATGGGTCGCAGGAACGTAACAATCTGGAGCGTAACTTTTACATATTCGAGTCTGTAACCTATCTCATACACATACCCTGCATTATGATCCTGAGCATGCGCTGGAAGCGACGCATTGCCGGTGTATTCCAAGCAATTGGAGAATTCGATTTGGTTTGTGGTTATATTGTCGATCGTCGGGGCATCCGGCGCTTTGTGCGTCATCAGCTGTGGCTGCTGCTAATCTTTGCCAGCTGCTGCATACCCATCGTTCTCTCCCATCGCGACTACGAGGTGTGCAAGTCCTTGGTCAACCTGAGCACCTATGTGCTGCCCAACATCTTGAGCGCCATCTCCTTTGTGCTCTACTACAGCCTGCTGCAGGGCATCAGTCTGCGTCTGCATCGCTTGGCCAATGCATTGCAATTGGAACTCCAACGTGGACCTTCGACCCGGCGTGCGGAGCTCCAGAAACTGCGCGGGCAACACACGCGCCTGCTGCACTTCACCAAGAGAGTTAATCAAACTTTTGGGGTTTCTGTGCTGTTGCTGTACGTGAGCTCTCTGATCAATTTCAATACGAACTTGTTTCTCGTCTATAAGGCCATTGAGAAGCCTGGTAAGGCCGACTGGCCCTGGCTGGCGTACACGATCTTGTGGCTTCTGATGCACACGGGCAAAATGTTCTTCATACTTTACTTCAATCACAACGTGCAGCAGCAGGTATTTTTCTGTCGAATAAAATTATAAATAAAGTTATTTATGCACTCGTTTCCACAGCAAGCACATTGCGCGGCGCTGTTGAGCAAGGTGAGCGCAGCTGACGAGGATTTGCTGGAGACCATAAATCACTTTGCGCTCCAGCTGCAGGGAAATGTGCGTGCACACGTGGCCTGCGGCCTCTTCGAGTTGGACTATAAGCTTATTCCGGCGGTTCGTGCTCACCCTTCTCTTTAAATATAGCTCATAACTTATATATATTTTAGCTGCTGATGACCACGGCCAATTTGTTTATATTTCTGCTCCAATATGACATTACGTTTCAAGCATTGGCACGCGCAATCAACATAACGGCATTTTAAATCTTATCGATAGCTTTAAGGCAGCGTAATGTACTTATCGATAGCTTGCATATATCGGTTAAATTGCAGCCCTGGCAAACACCTGCGCTGCGCATCTCGCAACATTTTTTGCACATTTATTTGCGCTTGTTATATTAAATAAAACAATTATTAATTAATATGTGTGACGTTGCAACGGTGCAGAAAATCGCCAACTGTCTGGGCGTTGCGCCCGGCAAAATTCAGCTTAACGAAGAGCAGGTAAAACACCAAGGTGGAGGACACATGTGTAAATATATCTGTAAGATTAATATAATTTCTGTTGTCAAGGTCGTAACGCGCACTGGCGCCCAAAACAAAACCGTGTCGGGCTTTGCCACCATACTGGAGAGTCTGGCGCGCGAGTCCAAGTCGGAGACGGCCCAAAACAGTATTGCCACAAAGGAGGTGCAGGCACAGGTTTACCAGTGGATCGAATTCGCGGTGCTCTATGTGGCGCCCGGCTCCAAGGACAAGCACGTGTCCAAGCAGCTGCTGGCCGACTTCAACAAGCTATTCATCAGCAAATCCTACCTGGTGGGGCACTTCATAACGCTAGCCGACCTGGCGGTGTATTATGCCATCAGTGAACTCGTGGTAAGTGCCTGTAAAGTATGCAAAAAATATTGAAACTTATTTCTATATATATTTCTTATAGAAATCCCTCTCGCCGTTGGATAAGGAGAACTATCTGAATTTATCACGCTGGTTTGATCATTTGCAGCAGCGACCCGAAATACATCAGGGCGAGCCAATGCTGAATTTCACGACCATTTATCTGCACAACTGGGCAACAGGCACGCACATTTGATTAGCAAAACGATTCCCATATTTATTTTTACACTTTTACATACATTTATCTGCGAGCCAATGGAATCTTGTATATTCGTTAATGTAGTCATTTTGAAAAGAAATATGTAATTATCAAATTATGTGTATTCGAAATGTGAATGATTCTTTATGGATGACAATCATTTTCGATGCGTTGGCGGCACCGGCGGCGGCGGTGGCTGTTGCGCTGTGTAGCAGCGACTTGTGCTTCTCCAACATCAGTTTGCCGGCACCTCGCGCGGCGAGCTGAGCGAGTTGTTCAGCTCGCTGGGCTCGGTGCATTTCCAGAGGCCGTACGTCTTGCCCACCGTGGTCTGCCACAGGCGGAGCGTGCCATCCTCGGAGCCACTTGCATACAGTTCGCCATCCGGACTGAATTTCACTGAATGCACTGGTCCAAAGTGACCCTTGAAGGATTCTGTAAAGTACACAAACGTATTAGCCAGGTCGGAGTAGAGTATTTTTCTTTTTTGTTGTGCTTACCAATTTCGTTGCCTGTTATGTAATCGAATTTATACATCTTAAAGTCTTCGCCTCCGCAGACAAAGACATGCTTATCCGGATGCAGGCTGGCGGACGCCACGTTGGTCGGCACCTTGACCTCCTTTAGCTTTTTGAGCGTCTCGATCTCCCAGAAACTGATGGTCGAGCCGTGCGTTATTGTCAGCACATGATTGTCGTGCGAGATCTCCAGACTGTTGGGATTGTTGGCGAATTGCAGACGCTGCACCTCGATGCCGGTCATGCGATCCCACAGCCGGACCGTCTTATCATCCGCCGCCGAAATGATGCACTTGTCGTCCCGGCAGAATAGCGCACGTTTTATGGCACCGCCATGACCCGCATACAGCTCCGGTTCGGCATCCGGTTGCTCCAGATTGAAGACACGGACCAGCTTCTCATTGCTGCCGGTGACAATGTTCTCGGAGCTATTGTCAAAGGCGACGCTCTTCACAATATGCTTGTGCTGGAAACTGTGGATTTCGGCGCCGCTCACCGCGTTCCATACCTTGCCGGTAAAATCGGCGGCGCCCGACGCGGCCAGCGTTGCATTCCGATTGAGTGCAACGCCCCAAACGGCGCCCTTGTGACCCTCAAAGGTGCCCACCCAGTCGCCGGTGTCGCCGTGACGCAACATCGGGCTGCCATCTGCAAAAAAGGCAACGACAATTTAATTCAATTTTTAATTGCGCCAACTAAATACACTGCAGGTGTGTATGTGTGTGCGTGTGTGTGTGAGCGGCGGAAGCTACCTTGACTCAACGACTACGCTCAATGCCAACGACCTGACGCAGTAGCTGCGACGACGTTGACGGCGGCGATTCGTGCTCGCAAATGGGCAGCCGCCGTGCACCAAGTTCACGTCATTTCCATTTGCAACGTGATCGACAGACAGAACGAGACATAGAGACAGAGGGAGGGAGGGAGGAGGAGCTCTGCCGCTTGCGGCAGGTTGTGTGAATAATGTGCAGGGACGCAAATCAAAACGTTCAATCAGAGCTTTTGAGTTCTCACTGCGAATGTTATCAACACATATACACTGTTCCCAAACAGAAAAGCGGGAATATAGCTCTATTTTGATACACTGTTCCCAAACGAAATAGGGGGAATATTGCGTGTACTATGTACACTGTTCCCAAAATAAATAGGGGGAGTGTTGCGCAATTTTGGTACACTGTTCCCAAAATAAATAGGGGGAATATTACATCAAGTATATACACTGTTCCCAAACAAAATAGTGGGAATATTGCTTCATACAAATTTCCGCAATTTAAGCATTGTTAACATGTTAAAGCCACGCCCCTTAGTCGGGCCTATGCCCTTTTCAATCTAATGGAAACCCAAATATTTTACACTTTGAGCTGCATTTGGAAACAGGAAAACAATTATAGTGGGAACAGAGTAGCAGACAGCAGGTAGCTTCCGACTGCAACGCTTTTGATTGTTTATTTTTTTTTTAACGCGTCGCAGCTGCATTGTATATATACATATATAAATATAGAAGTTTCAAGGTGCTTCCTGCGAACAACAAAAACAACGTTTTTTTTTTTGAAAAGTTGCTAAACAAGGGGAAGCATTGCATTAAATGGCGATAAAAAAAATTAACTTGAACTTGCAATGGGAAATTTGCTTTCCGCATGAATGTGTGTGTGTGTGTATGTGTGTGACAATATTTTTGAAAGCACAAATACAAAACATACAAGTGTGTGCATATGTTTCTAGACACTGTCAAGGTAAAGAACGTATGTTAAATATATGTATATGTGTGCGTCTGTGTGTGTGTGTATAGCAGCAGGCGAGTGTTTGGCAAAGGGTTTTCGCTAAACTGGTTTCGTTTTCATAATTTTTTGCTTTTGCATTTGGGTCAAGGTTGCAGCCAGGCTAGACATAGCTCAAGCTAGCACGATGCGTTGTCTATGTGTGCATATGTATGTGTGATGCTGTCTTCTGGCCAATACATACAGATGCATAGATAGGTGCACAAATAAAAATAACACAAGGACGCGTTTTTATACCCGCTGCCCATTGAAAAAAAAATAGCAGAGGGTATAATGTTAGAAGCATCTGCCATGGTCGTAGAAGCAGTCTGTTATTTTAAAAGCGTCAGTGTTACCAGCTGCATTTCAAAAACAGGAACTAAATCCTGCCGAGCACTAATAGACAGTAAGCAGGGTTGTTAGTACTTTTTTATCGAGACGCCCGAAAAAAAAATCTAAATTTGACTTTGTTCGGCTGACGACCTCTGAAAAAAGTCGTCTGTAGCAAGAAAATAGCTGAATTGGCAAAGAAATATACTCATTTTTAATATTGTGGAGCCTAGGCAAGAGGCACAGTGTGTTGGTTATGGTATGTATAGAAGGCACACAGCAGGGTATCGCCTAGTCGGTCGCGTTCACGTTGAATTGCTTACCTTTGCAAGCCGATATAAGAAAATAGCCGCTGTCGCAGATATCACTGAAATCCAAATGCACCACGGGTCTGGTATGTCCACTGCAGGTCAATGGAATCTGTCGCAAGTTATTGGCCGCCATTCTAAAAGCTAAAATCACCTGCGTTTTGCTCCTCCTCTCTTTACTAACAAAAAAAACCAATACTTTCTCGCTTTGTATACACTTGTAGCGTATTATGTGCCGTTTTGTCTAATTAATTAGTTATAACAAATAGCTAATAGTTGCTTGATAGTTTATAAAACTTTGTACTTTGTTTTGCTTTTTGGAGTTTGTTTTATTTCTTTATTTTTTTGTTTGTTTTGTTTAATGCCGTTTCATGCTCCTAGCTGCACTACTTTCATACAGTTCGTGTCCTTGGCAGCTGCACTGCGTGTTGCGTTCTTATTGTTGTTGCTCTCGTGTCGGTCACCGCTTATTACGGCACTTTTTTTTTGTCAAAAAACAAGTGGAAACAAATTATTTACAAATTTTGCGCTGTTTTCAATTGTTTTTGATTAGCAAGAAATGGAATAAAAATAATTACGCGACACGCTGTTGTTGTTGTTGCACGATTTGGCTGCCGAATGATTGTTGCGAAAAGAATCGACGGCACAGCAATGCTATCGATAATTGCACAACACTCTACAAAATATCGATAGTTATGCGCACAAATCATCGATGCGGAGCAGCTCATATGTTTTAAAAAGCTCACTTGCATAAAATGATTGCGCTTTCAAAAGATTCAAAAAGAATCTGGGCGAATCATGTGTTTTTTTCTATTTGAGCTTACAAATGTCTGCGAAGTCCAGAATAATATTGAGAGCGTCAACATTACCAATAAAGTACTTACTGTCTGCACGTCTCTCTGCTATCTTTATACGTTATTATCGCACCTACATATGGATGTTTGGGTTATGAGGAGGCAAAAATATACTTTCTGTTAAATATAGCCTCACGTTCGAATCCCGTGCATTCTCAAAAAAGAAAGCGCCGTCTTTATTGCATAAAAACGTGTCCAACGTTTTTTTTTTTAGTATTTGCTCAATGATCTCAGCAGTTTCTAAATGATAAGAAATACGTTTGTATCTTGCTCAGGTATAAAAAAATTATATATTTAAAATATTATTGTAATGATGATTGCGAGACTTTAAGCTAAGAAAACGAATCTAGTTAAATACGTGCTTGGACACTTTTTCCAATTGGGAATTAAATCTACTTTCCTTAGTGAAAAAAGTCTACAAGTCAAGAAGTCTACATCAACTCCTCTGGCTCAGAGTTTAGAAAACTCTCCAATGGCTGCTACAATTCTCTCCATGTTCTATGTACGAAGCATAATTAGATTCATAAAATGAAAATAGGCATGCTAAAAATGTACACATATTACATTCTCCGCCGTGTCTCGAGGTTTGCTGAGATAATCATCAACACGAGATACAATAAAAAAAAAGGTGAGATAATAAAGCCATAAAAGTAAGGTACGCCAATTGCTGAAACTGCGGAATGTGCTTATAAAACCTCAACAAACTGCCGAAAAATGTATCAGTTGCACATCGCTAGAACTTTCAACAAGTTAAGAAGATGCTGTGCCAGAGACAACAGCTCATCCTGCTCGGAGTCCTGCTGGCGGCCGGCTTATCCACGGCCGACGAGGTGCACAATATCGAAGAGCTGACTGGTCGCAGATTTCACAAAGCCCGATTCTCAACGGATGTGGCCACCGATAAGTACACGCCGCCGGAGGAGAAGGATCCTCAGTTCTGGTACGACTTGGCGCATGAAGAGATCGCCAAGAGGCTCCAATTACCGCAACCCGATGCGAAACGGGCCAAGAATGTGATCCTGTTTCTGGGCGACGGCATGTCCCTGACCACCGTGGCGGCGGCGAGAATCCTCAAAGGTCAGCGCCAGGGCAAAACGGGCGAAGAGTCCTCGCTCAGCTTTGAGCAGTTCCCCTACACAGGTCTTAGCAGGGTGAGTTTAAAGCCAGCGCCAGCAGAAGCCTTCATCTAAGTTATTTCCTACTTTACCCTACCATAGACTTACTGCTCCAATGCCCAGGTGCCGGACTCGGCATGCACAGCCACCGCCTATCTGTGCGGCGTGAAGACGAACATCATCGAGATCGGGGTCAGCGCTGCGGTCAACTTCAATAACTGCACCGAGAGTCAGACGCCTGAGAACCGGCTGACCTCCATTGCGGAGTGGGCACAGAACGCGGGCAAATCCACGGGCATTGTGACCACGACGACGCTAACCCATGCGAGTCCCTCGGGCGCCTACGCCAAGACAGCCAATCGCAATTGGGAGTGCGATACGGATGTCGCCAGCTACGGCGTGGATCCCAGCGAATGCGTTGACATGGCCACCCAGCTGATTACTCAGGTGCCTGGCAAGAATTTTGATATAATGTTCGGCGGCGGCATGGGAAAATTTCTGCCCAAATCTATACAGGATTCGCACGGTAATCCCGGCGAGCGCTCCGATGGCGTCAATCTGCTCGCCAGCTGGCAGGCCAGGCACGAGGGCGGCGTCCTGGTCACCAATCGCAAGCAGCTGCTCAGCGTCAACGTGTCGGCCGTGTCCAGCATCATTGGACTCTTCCAGTCCAGCCTTATGAAATTTCACCTGGAAGCCGATGAGAGCTACCAGCCAACGCTCTCCGAGCTGACCGAGGTCACGATCAAGAAGCTGAGCCAAAATAAGAATGGCTACTTTGCATTCATAGAAGGTAAGTGGAAGCTAATGTCAATCCTGTCGATATCGATTCCTAATCTCTCGCCTACAGGTGGCCTGATCGATTATGGCAATCATTATACCAAGGCGGGCTACGCGCTGGATGAGGCTTTGGAGTTCGAGAAGGCCATTCAGCTGGCCCGCGATATGACCGACATTGAGGACACGTTGATTGTGGTCACATCGGATCATGCGCACACGCTGTCCATTGCCGGCTATCCGGGACGCGGCACACCCATCCTGGGCCTCAATCAGCATGACACCGACATCAATGGCATCAAGTACAGCACGCTCAACTATGCCGTCGGACCCAAAAACTATCTGGACGAGAAGGGACAGCGCATCGATCTGACCGATCAAATTGGCGGCAATGACTTCGTCTACCCCGGTTATATAACCAAGGATCAGGGCACCCATTCGGGCGACGATGTGGGCATCTTTGCCTCCGGGCCGCAAAGCCATCTCTTCACGGGCATGATGCAACAGAGCACGATTCCGCATCTGATGGCCTATGCCGCCTGCATTGGCGACGGGCCCCAGCTCTGCGATGCCAAGTAGAGCGAATGCTTTCCACTTCCTTTTCCATTAAAAGTGGCTTCCATTTAGTTCCGCTTTTTGTCCAATAAATCACTGCTCAGGGAAAGTAGATCCATGATTATTAAAAGCTGTCTTTTGCTCCCCGTACGGAATACATCTCCCAAGATTCAAATATCTCATATTGTGCCTCGTTGCAGACAGCCATATAAATATTTATAGGCATAATATAACCACAAGACCATGATCCAAACTTATTACGGTCCATAAGCAAAAAGATTACAAAGCTTCTGAACTTTATGTTGGGCGTTTTTTTTAGGTTGTTGTTGTCCTATCTTGGTCTGGTCCAAAATTAGTTAAGCCCATTTATGGACGGATAGCACTCGTGTGGCATACATTTAACAACACTTATGATGCCTTTTATTAAGTTAGGACTGTTTTTTTTTAACTCTTTCTTGTCTCTGTTGACAGTAAATTAAATTGGAAGATGGGGTTCGAATCGATCCGATTAAAGGTCTAGTTCAGTTTAGGTTAGGTAAAGTTAAGTTAGGTTAGGTTAGGTTAGGTTAGGATATGTTAGGTTAGGTTAGGATAAGTTAGGTTAGGTTAGGTTAGGATATGTTAGGTTAGGTTAGGATAAGTTAGGTTAGGTTAGGTTAGGATAAGTTAGGTTAGGTTAGGATATGTTAGGTTAGGTTAGGATAAGTTACGTTAGGTTAGGTTAGGATAAATTAGGTTAGGTTAGGATAAGTTAGGTTAGGTTAGGATAAGTAAGGTTAGGTTAGGTTAAGTTAGGCTAGGGTAGGTTAGTCTTAATTTAAAGGCTTAATAAAATTGTTTTACAACATATCTAACCATTCCAATTTAAGCTTGTAATTTTATTACTCAGTTCCTTAAAGGGTTATCTGGTTTAATCCTGTTTTAGTTTGTAAAATAAGAATTTAAAACATTCGTGTTAAAATTACTTCAAAAAACATTTCAAATAAATACCTAAATCTCTCCCAAAGTGCGAGAATTTCAGTTAAATCTATAAATAAAGTTTACAGAAATAATGCAATTTCTATAAAGTCTTCTATAGTTTTAACCGAGAACTCGGTACTTTGAGAAAATATTTTTTGAAACTATTTTCGAAGCACTTTTAACTCGAAAGTATTTTACTTCTTTTTGCCTTTCTTGCCTTTTTTGCCTTTCTTCTTCTTTTTCTTTTTCTTCTTTTTTTTCTTTTTTGGCATAATTGATGTTTTGGGTTTATTTGGCTCCTCGACTGGAGGCGGAGGTGGCACTTTTTTGGGCTCCAGTTGGCACACTTCGTCGACAATTTTCTTGGAGAAATGTTTCTCGCCGGTTATCGTGCTCACGGGCACCCGATGCCAGTTGTCGAGCTTCTGACGCGGATAGACCTCCACGTTGCAGCAGTTGGATAACAGTATCAGATCCTCGTTGCCCGTCACAGTTTCGCGTGCCGCCAGATCCCTCCGGCAGTCTTGGCACTCGCATTTCCGGCGACGTATGCGAAATTTCATTGGAAAAACTCGGCCCACCAAAGTGTTGTCATCCAAAAAAACGGAGTGCTTATACGGAGGTCTTGGTCGTGTGGGTTGCACTAACTGAGATTGGGTGTTACGGAAGAATAATTGAAATATTTTTAAAAATTGTTCTCACCTGCCTCGTTTTGAGCATTGTGCCCTGGGGCCTACATGCTGCGGAGCAGAGATTTGGTTCCTTTGCAGCTTGTGCCTCACACAAGTTGCAGCATTTCTCCGATTCCCGGGTGCCACACTTGGCGCACACATCGGCTAGATCTATCCGGCGCCGTACTGGTATCTCGGGCTCCAGAAAGTTCTTGACAACGTCCGGAACGCCTTCGCCCAGTTTGACGGCTTTGATATCGACACATTGTCCTCCGGACGGTTCCAGGCAACTCCTCGGACATGCTGGCGGCTGCTTTAGAAGTTGTCTCTCGCGCAACAAGCGACAGCTATTGTCGCCCCAGTCATGTACCATAGATGGAAGATTCAAATTTAGAAAAAAGAACTTGAATTTGTATCAAGCTGTTTAAATGTGACTTTCCAGTGAAAGCCATGTTTCGGTACAAAAAGTCGGACTACAAGCCGGTTCGAATTCAATACACATATAAATATTCTACATATACATATTCTACATATACATATTCTACATATACATATTCAAATACATATGCACATATACATATACATATGCATAAACATATACATAAGACGATCGTACTTGAATGCATGAGAATCGCATAGTAGGGCAGTTTTTTTACATGGTTTGTTTTCATAGAGAATAATATTTAATGCTTTACGGTTTATAAACATTAGCAACAATTGTGACTTAATCAAGCACTTCTAAGGAATGATTTTTTGGAATATTATCTTAACTGATGATAAAGTAACTATTTTTCACCGACGCGCACTTTCTGTATGAGAGATTTGCATTCGGAATCGCGTTGCACGCGATGATAACTGGTTATTCTGCCCAAAGAGGATATAAAATTCTCATCGTGCGTGATTATAATGAGCATAAAATTCGATTGATACTGTCGGCTCTCGACTATGCGATTGAGGGCGTCGCACAGCGACACAATGTTATCACGATCCAAATTAGTTGTGGGCTCATCGAGAGCGAGGACGCCGCAGTTGCTGCTAAACGTCTCCGCCAGAGCCATGCGTATGATGAGAGAGCCGAGTACACGTTGCCCGGCACTGCAGCGTCCGCGCATTTCGATCTCTGAATTGTTCTTGGACTGGACAACGCGATAGTTGTAGTTCTTGCGTCGATCCGCTGAGGCGTCTTTGTCTAGCTCATCCGTCTTGATCTGTATATAATCGATATCGTTGCCTTTGTAGATCATGCGCCAATATTCCCGTATCAGGCTATTTATGTTGTTCATTTTCTCCGCATGAAACTGTATCAGGGCCCATTCAAGCGCCACACGATGCTGGCCCAGATCGTCGATGCCGCGACGCTTGACAGCCACCTCGAACTGGCCGCGCATGTAGTTCTTCATGGACTCTTTGTACTTGGGCTCGCTTATTTCCATTTGCAACTTGGCCACCTGATTGTTTATCTCGCCCTGCTGGCCGAGCAGCTCGCCGCGTCGCACCGAGGCCACATCGCGTTTCTTCATCAGCTCGTTCTTCTCCTTGGTCACGCTGCGAAAGTCCAGATTACCCAATTCCTTGGACAGCGTTTGACAATTTTCGCTCAGTTCGGCTTCCTTCAACTGCAGCTGTTTCAACTCGCGATTGTCCTTCAGATCGCGCTCCAGGCTCTGTTGATTGAGGCACTCGGTCTTGAGTGTTTCCAGCTGCTCGCTCTTCTCTTGAATTTGTGCCTCCTGGAATGGTATATTGAAGTATGAAGCATTAGTCATATATCAATAGGTTTAAAGTGCGCATTGCTACCATTTTGTTGAGCTCTGCTTTGATTGAATTTATGGTTGCATCGTATTTGCTGATGGCATTCACCAGATCCAGACTGGCGAACTCTTGCGCCTGTTTCCTTAATCTATTAGGGAAATAATTAAATAAAAGATTTGCTGTGAATTGATGCATTTACTGCCCACCTTTGTATGTCCTGATCGGTGCTCTTGTACTCCTGGTACTTGGCCTGCAATTGCGATAATTGTAAACGTTCGCTTTCCTTCATGCGCGCCTTTTCGCTTAAGGCTGCGCTTAATCTTTGCTTTATGGGCTGAATCTTCGATCTGAGCTCAGCTATTTCTGTGGTCAATGTGATGAGCATGCGCGTCAGCTCGTCCAGCCTGTCTTTCAACTGTGGCAAACTCTGCACGCCCTCCTGCAGCTTTATGCGCTTGTCTTTCAAGCTAAAAGCAGAGGAATACATATTATTTATGCACTATTTTTAAGGAATTGAAATCTACCCATTTCGAAATTCACGCAAGCGATTCAGCGCTTCCATTTGCTGCTCGAAAGTTTGTTGACTTGTCTCCAGCGCCTTGGATTCAGCCTCTAGCTCCTTGGACACCTCCGTTTTTTCCGCCTGCAAAGCCTCCGTGGAGACGTTGGCATCGTAGCTCTCCGGCAATTTGAGCTGGAATGTAGAAAATGATTATTATAACAATATATATATTTAATATGTATTTTAGGTCGGCGCACCTTGAGCTGCTCCAGATCTTTTTTAACGCGCACAGACTCCTTGAGCGCCTCGTCCAGCAGCGTCATGTCGCCCAGCATCGCATTGGCCAATTCCACATTGTTTGTGGGCTCGCCGAGCAGCGCCATTAGCGTCTCATATTCGGCCACTATTTCGCCCAGACGCCGTTCAATGCCTCGCAGTTCCTCCTTCTTTTTCGGCAGCGTTTCTTTAAGCTCCTTAACCTTATCAATGGCTGGCCTGATTTGCAGCAAGTTTTCATATTTCAATTGCTCTGATTTTAAAGCCTTTTCAGCACGGGTAATATTATCCGGCAGCTTTTGTATCTCATCCGTCAGCTCGGTGGTCAGATCACAGGCCTGTTCAAGGTGAGGATTGATTAGCTATTGGTCAAAATTTATTTGGTTTCATACACACCTCATCGCCAGACATATTGTGATGGCACAACGGGCAGCTCGGCTCCTCGTCGATCTTTTGAATGTACCTGCAGGAGATTAAATCAAGTAATTGTTAAAGGAGATTTACATATTTACATTTATGGCTAACTTACTTCTTGTACATGGCTTCAGCGGACTTGAGAGCACCGTGCTCCAGCTGCAGCTTGGATATGGCTGTCTTGCTGCGCAACAGCAGCTCATCGTAGGGCGTTGCATGGCACTTTTGGTAGATGCGCTCCTCGAACTCCTGCAGCTCCTTCTCCATGCGGGCAATGTCAGCAATCAGATTCTTGCGCTTGATCTCGTGCGACTGCTCGTCCAGCTTATGGCCATTGGCCTTGTCGTTCAGCTCTTGGATCTCGCGACGCAGCTTATCGTAGGCGTTTTGCATGGCGCGACGATAGTTGCTTGAAATCGGTTCATTGAAGAATTTACCAAAATGTTCGCTATGTTTGCTGCGCACGCGATGTATCTCCTGATTCTTCTTTTCCAGCTCCTTCTCCTTCAGGCCAATCTCGGCCATCAGCTTGGCTATGGAGCTGAGAAAGGTTAGCTGCTCGTCGAGCTGCTTAAAGCGCTTCTGCTTCTCTGTAATGCTGGCCTTTTTGCCAGCTATCAACTGGCGACAGGCCTCCTGGTTGAAGCTGCGTGTCGTACGCTCGTATTTCTCGTCTGTGTCCGCGATTTGCTTCTCCAGCACCTTGAGCTGATGCAGCGAGGTTTCGATTTGTTTGATTTTCACCTCCAGCGATTCGCTCTCCCGCTCGCTGGCCGCCTTCTGCTGCTCCTGCGTGCTGATGCTCTGCTCCGATTTGGTTAGTTCCGTGCGCAGCTCGTCGATCTTGGCCTGGCGCATCTGGTCCGCCTGATCGTTTTGGGCGGCCAGCTCCGTTATCTCGCATTGTTTACTCATGAGATTCACATCGATGTCGTCCAGCAGATCGGCCAATTGCTGTGGCTCATCAACCACTGCCGCCGGCACAGTTATTTGCAGTTGCCGGCACAGAGCGTGAAGACGTTCGGATAGCTGCTGTTTGCATTCCTGCTCGTTCTTCTGCTTCTGCTGTGCCATGCAGCGCTCCTTGTCCTGCTTGGCCAGCGTCTTTTGTTGCTCTGCATTCGATTTGCGCAATTGATTCAGCTGCTCCTCGACATCGGTGCGTTGAAATCTCACTTCGGACATGCGCTGGCTGAAGCTGCGCATTTCCAGCTCCAGTTCGACGAGGGAGCCTTGGAACGGACTTTTGATGTTCCTCTTAAGCTTGGCAATTTGTTCAACACAATTCTTGTGCCTGCAGAGAGCGAAAGTTATGAAGCGATATTGTTTAATTTAAGCAATTGAAGTGTTCCCACTTTGTGTCCATTTCGACCTTTTGCGCCTGGTATTTGCCAATCTCGAACTCGATATTGCGTATCTCCTGCAGTCGCGCATCGATTGGTTTCACCTCCTCGTCACACTTGTTGCATTCCTCCTTAATCTCCTCGCATTTTTTCTGGGCTTGCTCCAGGCTCAAGGTTTTCTCGTCCATTTCCTTCTTCAGGTGCTCCAGAAACTTCATGTTGGCCTCTAAAATGCGTAATGGGTATTTGTTAGTTGTTTACACTAAAATTTACGACTTGTGCGCAACATACCCATTACTTTGAGCTCCTCCATTGCCGTCTTGCGCAATTTAATGATCCTGTCGAGCGCCTTGTTGTACTCGGTTATGCCGAAGATGGCATCGAATTTCTCCTTGAGCTTCTTGGCCTCGTCCAGCGGCCAGCTGGCGTCCTCCTGGTGGCAGAACAGCACACTATTTATAATGGCCTTCGAGACGCCCATGAAATCACTGACAGCCACATCTGTGTTGATGCCCCGAAAGCTTAGCGACTCCTGGCTGTTGGCCTTCGCCGGCTTGCCGTCGCTGCCCAGGAAATTGAGCGTAGAGTCGATCGTTTTAAAGGTGGGCTTGCCACGCACTATGGACACCTTCATGCTGCGGCAAATGGAGAGGCACATATCGCGACGATCGCGCACCTGCAGCTTGACCTGGGCCAAGGATTCTTTTTTACCAAAAATCTTGGGATCGTGCACAAAACTTTTGCCGCTGTCGCTGCCGGGCGGACATTCGCCGGTTAGTGCATATTTGAGGCATTCAATTATTGTTGTCTTGCCACAACCGTTTTGGCCCAGGATCAGCGTTATGGGCGATGAAAATGTGATGCTCTAAATACTAAGGATTAGGAACAGCTTCTACCTTAAACCAAACTATAGACGCTTACCTGGACATCTTCGGCATTCGCTCCAAAGCTGCGTACGCCTTGTATAGATAGTTTCTCAATTGTAGACATTTCTAATTTTTAAACAATTTCACAATGCCCAGAAACAACGCAATTTCCCGGTCTTTCGGCATCTGCCCGACGATAAGAGCCACAAGCTATAATCGATAAGCGATTGGCGGAAGGCATTTCTAACGTAGCGCAATTATGCGCTACGTCATGCCTATCGCACGACCGCCACAAACAGCTGTTGTGCCTTTTTAAGTTAGCTAGCTATGGTCACACTGCGTGTTTCGTAGCTCTGCGTCGCAGAGCGTTTATTTTTCGCCGTGTCTTACAAGTAATAATAATTAAATGTAAAAAGTGCAATAGCTAATTTATTAAACTGCGCAATTTGCAAGTGACGTACACTGTGCGTCGTACTCGTACTCGTGCTAGTGACAGTATTGTGTGGCTGCAGCGTCGTGTGGGTGTTACTGTGTCAGTGTGAGGTGTGTGTGTTTGTGTTAGCGGGGGATAATAAGAGAGGGGCGAGCAACGCAGCTAGTGCGCGAGTGCGAGTGCAAAGCAGGCGCTGCGAAAAATTAAAAGACAAAGGAATTGAATGTTGGCATCGAAAATGATTGCATGCTGATTGCATTGCCACAAACAAAAGAAAATCGACGAGCAAGAATTGACCAGAGTGCGTTGTCATTAACTCGGTGCAAGTGTCTATTTTTAACAGCAAAAAAGTCAAATGCACAACACTGAATGCACCAGCAGCCCCGCATGTGTGCGTGTGTGTGAAACGAAAATAAAACGGGATCTATTGACAGCGACGTTGCCACCCCGCTAAGCTAAAGCTCTTCCAGCGAGCGTGTGCTCATGTAAATGGGGGGAGTGCGACAACGACGTAACGACAATTGCAACATACCCCACGGCAACAACAACAACAGCAACTAAATCTTCCACCACCACCAATAGCAGCAGCAACGCCACCACCAACAATAGCAACTGTTACAAACACAAAATCAACAACAACAACAAGAGAGAAGCCCCGCCAACCCCCTCGCTCGTGTAATAGCCTTGTAAAGAAGTATTTTTACGTTTTTGCTTTACTCGCCCTTCAATCGTCGTCAGGCAAGGCAACGGGCAACCAAGCGAGGAACGCACACACACACACACACGCGCACGTACAAGGCTGCCCCTGCTCCCTGGCACAACTTCTCCACCGCCGCCACCTCCTGACAGAGTTGCAATGGACTCGGACATTGAAATGGAATTGGAATCGGACAACGATGGGGAATTTGATGACGATTATGATTACTATAATACAGGTAAAGAAGGGGCAGTGTCCAAGGACGCTTTGTGCAGTTTATCGATTACACACGACCAATCGATTTAACTTGAACGCACACACACAAATGCAGCTTTTTGATTATCTTATTGGACAGCGCCATATACTGTGTGTATGTGAAGTTTGCATGCGCTTTGCTTTGGTTATTCACCTTTGTGTCACACACACATATACGCACACACACTCAAACATTTCTTGGGCCTAGCATTTTGCATTTAACCTTCTATTTTATAGCATGCACGTAACTTGGCTCTTGACATTCGCCTTTTGAAATTGCCTTCCTCCCTTTCCCCCTCTTTGGTGCCCTTCTACTTAAACTCTTGTTTCCCCAGCGTGTGAGTTGACCATTTGCTGCGCCGTCTTCCCATTTAAATTATAATTTGAATGTATTTAATTTTGTAGCTGTGCTTTGGTTCGTTACGTTTTGCTTTCTGACCATGAAGCTTAAATTATAAAATTGAACTTGAAATGATCGTTCGTTCAGCTCGGCCAGCGCCAAAACATGCGGGGCCAGCGCTTAGAGCTCTGCTGCTACGATACCCTGTACGCACTTATAACGGTTATGTGGCAACTGCGGTAGTGTATGTAACAGTCGGTATTAGTTATTATTGTCCCTTTAAAATGAATAGGTCTAAAGATGAGATAGTTCATTTGTACTGATCCGTCTTTCTGACATCAGGTTGCGTACCTCAGAGCTGCGTACAGACTATCTGCTAGTCGGTCAAGCTCGACTCGTTTGCTATTTGAATTATTGCCACCTCTGCTTTGTACTCTTTGTACCTGCTGCTGCTGCTGCCGCTGCGTGCTTAAGTGCCCGCTGTCTGACGTCGCGACGACGCGTCGTTCAGTTTCTTCCGTCAACTGTTTTTGACCTGCCTGCTAGCTCCCTCTCTCTCTCTCTCTCGTCATTTTTTTAGCTGATTGTGACGTCATGACTTCATCTTATTTGTAATCCGACGACGTAATAACGACCTGACGACGTAACGCCGACGTAATATTTGGCCTTCAATCGAATTCCAACAGTCGTTAAAATGACAATCAATTCAGTTTCTCATCCAGCAGCATGATAGTTTTTTCTTCTTCTTTTGGTTGGAAATTAGGGCCTGGCTCTCAATTTTCCCATTTTCCACTCGCACCAGCTGTGGATTCTGTGAAAAGAGCTGGAAGCGCAGGTAGCAAACCAATTGAATCAATCGTGGCTTGCACCTGGTGCACAGTTGGGTTTTCTCGAAATTGTGAAAAATCTGGGTGAAAATGGGCAAGAGCTGAAAGTGTAACCAACATGCTAGAAGCACATCCCTTGGCTGCGGAAATGCAATAAACCCGATATTTATACACTGCGTAGTAAGTGTAAAATTCAGCATGAGATATACTCGACTAGTAGACACCCTATACCGTCACCCCCTCGATCATGTCTTGCCTCATATATACTTAAGAGTAGTTACTATGAATTGTTGCTGGATTTGAACCGGGAACCTAACGATTTAAAGTCTCATTAGTTATTCAACTATATATATACAAATTCTACCTCTGCACCTGTTGCTAGTTAGTTGCTGTGTCTAATTGGATTTGCATACTTTCAGGCGAAGACTGCGATGTCGAAAGACTCGATCCAAAGCGTGCTGATCCCGAGTACTTTGAATACGACTGCCTGACCGTGGAGGACATTGAGAAGCTGCTAAACGAGCTAGTAGAAAAGTTAAACACGATACTGCAAATAACCCCATCGCTGGCCAAGGTGCTGCTGCTCGAACATCAATGGAACAACGCGGCGGTGGTGGAGAAGTATCGCCAGGATGCGAACGCGTTGCTGGTGACGGCGCGCATCAAACCGCCAACAACTGCTGCGGACGCGGCCTCGGCCTCGACGAGTGCAGCGGCGGCACAGCTGCTGCGCATGGGCAGCACGGGCTACAGGACAGCGACAACGTTGTCCACAGCCAGCAGCACACACACGACGTCACAGCAACAGCGCCGCATGTGCCCGGTGTGCGCGAGCTCACAGCCGAACGACAAGTTCTATAGCTTGGCGTGCGGGCATTCGTTCTGCAAGGACTGCTGGACCATTTACTTCGAGACGCAAATCTTTCAGGGCATTTCCATACAGATTGGGTGCATGGCGCAGCAGTGTAATGTCCGGGTGCCAGAGGATTTGGTGCTGACGCTGGTTACGCGTCCGGTGATGCGCGACAAGTATCAACAGTTTGCGTTCAAGGATTATGTAAAGTCGCATCCGGAGCTGCGCTTCTGCCCCGGACCCAATTGCCAAATCATTGTGCAATCATCAGAGATCTCCGCTAAGCGTGCCATCTGCAAGGTCTGTCATACGGGCTTCTGTTTCAAGTGCGGCATGGACTACCATGCGCCCACTGACTGCCAGATCATCAGGAAATGGCTGACCAAGTGCGCCGACGACAGCGAAACGGCCAACTATATAAGCGCACACACCAAAGACTGCCCCAAGTGTCACATATGCATCGAGAAGAACGGCGGCTGCAATCATATGCAGTGCTTCAATTGTAAGCACGACTTCTGCTGGATGTGCCTGGGCGATTGGAAGACGCACGGCTCCGAATATTATGAATGCTCCCGCTACAAGGACAATCCCAATATTGCCAACGAATCGGTGCACGTGCAGGCGCGCGAGGCACTCAAAAAGTATTTGCATTACTACGAGCGCTGGGAGAATCATTCCAAGTCTCTCAAATTGGAGCAGCAGACGATCGATCGTCTGAGGCAGCGCATCAATGCGAAGGTCATGAACGGCAGCGGCACCTGGATCGACTGGCAGTATCTGTTCAATGCGGCTGCGCTGCTCGCCAAGTGTCGCTATACGCTGCAATACACCTATCCCTATGCCTACTACATGGAGGCCGGCTCGCGAAAGAATCTGTTCGAGTACCAGCAGGTGAGTGGGAATATGCATAGCCATATGCCAAATAAGTTTGTTAACATGTTTGCTTTGCAGGCGCAATTGGAGGCTGAGATCGAGAATCTGTCGTGGAAAATCGAGCGAGCCGAGACGACGGACAGGGCTGCGCTCGAGAATCAAATGGATATTGCTGAAAAGCGTCGCACCACACTTCTCAAAGACTTCTTTCCCGTCATAGGAAAGACATAGGCTCTTCCACACTCTCCAAATTTTGGCTAATATTTGTTGAAATGGAGCAGCACAAGATTCATTTGAATTCGCGTGACTCGCCGCTGACAGTATGAGAGACGCCTATTTTAAAACATCCAAACATAAATGTAGAACGTAACAACTTGTAGCTAATTTTTAAATGAATATTCAAGTGCATATGTAGTTATAATCTAGTTTTGACATACATAAACTACGTCTAATTATTAATTATAATAATATAGTTGTGAAATTCGATATCACGCAAAAATCGAAACCAACTGCAATACAACGCCTTGCGCCGAACAATAGGGCATTCAAGCCGACGAGTGCTCCCCATAGTTTTCCAAAAACATCTCGTAATATTTAAACACCGGCAAGCTCGACAACAACAAATTAACAAAGAACATTCAACGGTTTTACATTCATTTTTGTGAGAGAATTGCAGGAATAAAACATGATTAAGTCTTAAGTCATATTTACGTATTCTAACTGCAAAAGCCAAACAACAACATCAACAATATGGATAATATTCAAGTATTTGTATCTGTAATTATAACAAAAAGAAAAAAGTCTTAAATTCTAAACAAATAATACAAGGAAATCGACCCGATCATCAAAACTAAGTTCCCCTTTTTCTACATATTGTGGATTGGCATATTAAGCTGAATTATACATTTTAGTTATTAGGTTAACGCTAAGTATGCTTATGCGACTGAATTTAAATTAATTAAATGCAAATTGAAACACATTAGAGAATCCTTTGAATATCATTTTTGCAAAACGGATTTCAAATATTGCTAAGCTCTTTGCCCGAATTGAATTGTCTAAAAACATGTTTCATATAAACTCTTCGAGCAGAGATAATTCTTATATATAATAGATTAGTTTTTAAGTGACGACTTTATTCCAAAGCATTATTTCTTTCCTTTCTTTCCCTTCTTGCCCTTCTTGCCCTTTTTACTTTTACGTTGATTACTGGTCAATTTGTCAATTGGTTTGGCGATTATGTCCACAACTGGCGGCAGTTTCTTGGGTTCCAGTTGGCATATTTCATTGATTGTTTTCTTTTTCATCTTGCTGTCACCGGTTATGGATAGAATGGGCACCCGGTGCCAGTTCTCGAGTGCCCTGTTGTGATATACCTTGACGTCGCAGCAGTTCGTGAGCACAACCACGTTTGAGTTGTCCGTAATGGGATCACGGAAGTACAGCTCCTTTCCACAATCGCTACAATGGTTTTTTATTCGACGTAAGCGAAACTTGACGGGAAACACACGTCCAGCTAACGTTTCACTATCCACAAAAACACTGTGCTTATACGTGGGCTTCGGTCGAGGGCGTTTCGTCCACTAAAAAGCAGAAAATCAATTATATAAAGATCGAGTTTGGGCTGGCGTACATACCTCTTGCAAGTGCAGCTTTGTGCCGAGCGGTCTGCACGCAGCTGAACATAAATTATTTCTTTGGGTAGCATTTTGGGCGTCACACAAGTTACAACACTTTTCCGGCGTGTTTTCGGCCAGGCCGCAGCACTTGGAACAGAGCGCCTTTGTGTCTATTATCCGGCGGATGGGCGGCTCCGGTTCGAGTATGGCTTTCACAACGCTGGCCTCCCGGTTAACGACATCGACGATTTTGTAGTCGGGACATGGTCCATTCAATGGATTGAAACAATTCGCTGGACATTTACGTGGTAAATTTTTACTTAATATTTCCTTCCATTTGCAGCAACTGTTTTCCGCCATTGAATGAACTAGGTGGATGGATGGTGTTACGGATGGAAATGAAAGGATTGGCCTATCGCATTTGGAAAAAGTAATTTCTGGTGTAAGTTTAGATGGACTGTGAAGCTTAACACATATATAGCACAAACATTTGTCAGAAAATATGCAAAGTAACCTAGATTTACAACAAAAATGTTTAAAAAAAAGTATTTCAATGTTGCATTACAGAATAAAACCGTTAATGCTTAAGATGTGAAAATATCGATATATCGATTGCAAGCTAATAACGTGACAAACACTGCACACTTTGCGCTTTCCCACACTGTAGTTATATTGGTCCACCACTAAATTTCGCGCTAAGAAATTTGATTGCGGTACATTTTGCCTCCAAATTGTTAAATGGAGTTGCCGTTGTCCGATTTTAGTTTACGGGATTTAATACGCGATCTATACGGCCGTGCGTTGAACATCAAAGGCACCAAGCAGGATTTACACGATCGTCTATTAACAGCACGCCACGAAAAGGCCGAGGCTCAGGCGCAGGGCTATGTGCGGCCCGGAAGACCACCAATTGCAAAATTTGGAGCTTGTGTGCAGCCAGATGACTTTGCAGAAATCGAGGGCATGACGGATGATGAGTATGCAGCGTTCGCCAAAAGGGTGCAGTGGAGACTGCGCCGCATACACAAAACATACAATCTGGATGGCCTCGAGTACTATCATCCTGGGGTTTTGCATCGAATTGACCGGACCAAGACGTATACGCTTAATATGCGTGAGTTTTGGGTGCGTTTGGAGCCGTATATCCATAAGGTAAGTGACACTTTTACAAAAATAAGCAAATTCATAATATCGTATTGGCAGATCTTTGTGGTATTTGTATCGCGCACCAATGGCGAGGAGCAGCGTCTTTGCTATGCCAGAAGCTTGGCAAGAGTGCGCGGAAAGCATATGGAGCTGGAGCAATTAAGGATGCCTGTAAGCTATTGAGATGTACATAGAATCTATATATATTTGAGACTTGGGCTAATCATATTTCAATTATGACAGCTAATTACAAATGATGAAATTGGCCGCGTTCTAACAAACATATTGCTTGAAATAGAGCACAATGGACTGGAGAATTATGTGGCCATTGTTGTAGCTAAGCAGAAACTGCACATGCAAGCGCTGCGTGAGGTTGCAATGGTAGCTAAACAAACGCTGCCACAGATCGTTTTGGATGCGTGCCAACTGCATAACTCCTTTGAAAAGCTATTCTGCGCCAAATCTGCGCGCTGTTTGCACCGGCTGCAGCATGAGCTATTTGTTAAGAGCCACTATACGGAGCAGCTGGATGAGCTGCGTAAAAACTACACACAAAATGTGGATGCGGATGGTCTACTGCAGGAGTTTATAAAGCCTCTGCCAAATGTGTTGTTAGCCATGTGGAAGATTGAGGAACATAGAGACAAACCCATTTCCTTGGCTCGTTTAAATAACGAAAGGCTGAATGCATATAGCGCACAAATTCAAATGGATCTGGCGCCCATTACATTTGAGGAGTGCTCAGCTGGCGCTGGCCTCTTGCAATTGATACTCTTCGACGCCTTGTGGTGCCTTGGCGATGCACATGAAGTAGAGCAGAATAATGCTATTGCCATACTTGAGCCTCAGCTGCCAGATGAATGGCTGCCCTTATTGAACTAAGGGTTTTATACAAATGACTATATACGAAAGTTTAGCGACAGACGTCAAACGTATATAAACTTCATTATCTTTATTGTGGCAAATGACGTCAGAGGACAAATATCTTAAATATCTTCTCCAATTTTTTGCAGTTGAAGTGTGCTGCCTAGATCTTTTAATGTGATATCCTCCAAGCTCTTTTTCGTTTCACCAGTCTCAGTTTTTACTTCATCAAATATTTTCAAATGTTTGGCATGATACCAAACCACAATATTCATGAAGCCACCCAACAGTATAAAAGAACCAGCCGCAAGATTCAGCGCATATCTAAAAAACACAATTGATGAATGCAACACACACATATTTGAGTGCTTCTAATTCTTACCTTAAAGACTGCGTATCATATATCCAGCAGTTACCCTTATTGCTGCACGTCTTGCCCCACACTAAGCAATACTTATCTATCAGCCAGCCGTAGAAAATGGGACTTGGAATGAAGCCTAACAAAGATGCTACCATGCTGCCTACACCTAGAGCCAAACTTTTGTCCTCAGGTGGTATGCAACGCAAGGCTATAAGCAAGTTTGTGGATTTACTGGAGGCACCGACTAGCTTGAGGAAACACATGACGCCCAAAAAGATGAGAAACTGATGGAAGCAATCAACATGGCAAGCTCCATCCAATGCATATTGTAGCTGAAAAAGAGGCCAATAAGTTAAGGGATGAGACTCCATCCTTGGTGCTGCTTACCTCGGAACCACCTGTTTTGTTTATTGGATTTATACAATCACAGCCTGTGAACAAGGTGCGTCCCAGTTGATCCTTGGTTTTTTCGGTGCAGCCGGCATGACAGGCGGATATATAGGTGACATTCTCTGGACTGCATATCGGAGCGTAGTGTACGTATTCACAGTGGCAAGAAGCGATGCAGCTGTCGCTGGTCGCCATGGAGCTCAACTGATCGCTGCCCTCGCAGCCAATGAACACATAGAGCAGAATGCCAGCCACGGTCAAGAAATCCACAGTTGCATTCCAAGCAGCCATTGCCCTTGCACTGGGCTTATACTTGGACACTATGTAGCCAGAGAGGAGTACGCCCACAGCTGAGAAGCCTAGAGCTACAGTTCCAGTAGCCAAAGTGGCCACGGAGGCCGACTGCTGATACTGCATCTCAATGTACTTCGGCGTGAATATCCAATATACCATGTAGCCAAAGAAGTACAGGATTGAAGCGCACGTATTGTATACGTATACCTTGTTGGTTGCTAGGAGTTTTACAGATTGCCACATGTCGCTCAATGAATGATCCTTGTGTTCAATTGGATTTTGCTTGCCAGCTCTTTCCAATTTTAGGCGTCTCGCTTTTGAGCTGGGCAGCTCCTTGGGAAACAGACTCATTAGGATTGCAATCACAAATGTGATAGCTGCCAGAATAAGCCAACCCAGCCACCAGGCGCCCAACCATCTGGGATCTTCAATATTGATTAAGGGCTCCGCTGTGGGATCAATATACCAGCGTAGGCAGAGCGAAGCTAAGGAATATCCAATAGCAGGACCCAACATGCGTATAAATGTGGTGAAACCTGAAGGGAATCGGAAAGTGAGTAGTTCCAATCCATATTTATTCCCAAATAGAAAACTATGGGGGAAATTCTAGTCATAAATTTATGGACTTACTCAGCATGGCTGGCGTTTTGGACTTGGTGGTGTTATCATCCATGTAAGCCAGGCCCACAACAAGAAAAAGCGCCTGTCCAATGCCCAATATGAATTGTGCTAGAAATAATATGAATTGAGGTACCCAAACACTATCCTCCTGTATGCAGCTGGAATCCTCCGACATGCATAGTTTGTGATCTTTGTGTGCACTGTTTAAAGTTCCAGTTAGATTTTGATAGTCTCCATAATCACGAGTCAGCTTCAACGCATCCTCGCCAGCGCCATAGATAAAGTGCAGCGAGCAGTTCAATAAGCAAAATATAACGATGGTAAATAGACCTAAAAAGGGGACTTGCTTTAAGTAACTGTTGAACCCTATTGATTCTGGTTAAGCATACCAAAGCCCATCCAGCGTGGTCGATGTACTTTGCGTAGATAATAGCCTGTTAGGGCCGAGGCAAGCATGGTGCTCATATCGTTGCCAACCGAGATGATGCCCAGCGTTCTTGTTGGTATCTTATAGCGCTTCTCCAATGTTGTAATTGTGCCATTGAAGTAGGCAAAGCACATGGCCATAAAGCAGCCAGCTATGCCATATATGGTTACATACATGGCTTCCGTGGCACAGCTAAAATGGGTCTGTGTAAAATTCGTTATTTATAGGTAGATTCCCAGAAATACCTTTGCAGAAAGGCTCCCCTGAATATCCAGAAACCGCACGTAGTATCTTTACTATCATCTTCTGTTTCTAGAGCCGAAATTTTGGTATCCTTGAGCTCCTGTTCCTTCCTTTCTATGCCAGATTGTTTGTCATTATCCGCTAAAAATGGGGACACCTCACTCTGATCCTTGTTATCGACGCTCATACTGGACTTGATCCATTAAAGCGCTCAACTGAACTGAGCCTTATTCGTGCTGCAAATTCATATGAGTTTACATTTGTCTCGACAGTTAACGTCAATAAAACTAAGAACCTTCAGATTACGCGGCTGCAGTTTATGAATGTTACAGCTTAACTCCCGTCATGATAAGACCTTTGGCAACCTATGCAGCACACAGATAAAACGATAATATAATTATTTTATCTAAGCGTATCTCGTTTCTCTATCTACCAAATGAATTTCATCAATTCCTTCAAAAAGTTCTACTAAAAGCTACCTGCTAAGATTCAACAGCTCAAACATTTACCTTCTTCAGAATGTGTACCAATACGATATGTTTATCGTTGTTTTCACAGATATAAAGATTGAGCTATTTTTAAAGTAATCTGATGGATATGTGCTTTTATATTTAGAGAGATCCACAAGAAAGCAGGTCTTTAGAGAGTAAAGAGCGATTTTTTCTTAATTTCATTCTAGTTTAGGCTTCAAATTGACAAAAAGGCAGAATAATTTTAATATTTCATTTCTAAAAAGATATCGGTTTTTCTTCTTAAAATGTTGTTTAATAAGTCTCATAGAGTTAATTCGTGTTTAAAATTCAATGAATACATTTATCTTAAAGCTCTTCTGTTTCTTTGGATACCTTAACTACTTGGAATTTGGTCGGCAGGTTGAAACTGTCTGCCTTACCATCCGATTTATCGGTTTCCTTTTGCTCCTCGTCGAATATCAGAAGGTCTTTGGCATGATACCACACGCCAATATTTAAGAGGCCGCCCAATAATATGAAAAAGCCTGAAGTTAGGTTGAATGCATACCTGAAAGTTAGTTTAATCTCAGATTAATTGGATTACTTGCATATACATTATTGACTTTACCTTAAGGAATGCGTGTCATAGAGCCAACAGTTGCCCTTGTTGCTGCAAGTCTTGCCCCACACCAAACAGTATTTGTCCAAGAGCCAGCCAAAGAAAATTGGACCGGGTATAAAGGCTGTCAGGGAACCAATCAGACCACCCAGACCCAGAGCAAAGCTTTTGTCCTCCGGCTCTATGCAGCGCAGTGATATAAGAAGATTTGTGGATTTGCTGGTGGCACCGACGAGCTTCAGGAAGCACATGACTACCAGAAAGATGATGAACTGCCTAGTGCAATCCACAGGACAGGCGCCATCCAATGCATACTGAAACTGTAAAGCACAAACAATATGAGTTGCAAAAGCTGGGCAGCTCCTCCCACATGTGCTGCCTACCTCGGAACCACTTGTTGTATTCGTTGGATGTAAGCAAGCACAGCCTGTGAACATGGTGCGTCCCAGCGGAGTCTTGCTGCTGCCCGTGCAGCCGGCATGACAGGCGGATATATAGGTGACATTCTCTGGACTGCATATCGGAGCGTAGTGCACGTATTCACAGTGACAGGATGTGCTGCAGCTGTCGCTGATCGCCATGGAGCTCAGCTGATCGCTGCCCTCGCAGCCAATGATTACGTACAGCAGAATGCCAGCCACGGTCAAGAAGTCCACAGTCGCATTCCAAGCAGCCATTGCCCTTGCACTGGGCTTATACTTGGACACTATGTATCCAGAGAGGAGTACGCCCACAGCTGAGAAGCCTAGAGCCAAGGTACCTGTAGCCATGGTGGCCATTGATGCCGACTGCCTATATTGGGTCTCAATGTACTTTGGTGTGAATATCCAGTAGGCCAAATAGCCGAACAGATAGAAACTGGTGGCGAATGTGTTGTACATGTAGATTTTGTTGGCTGCCAAACGTTTTATGGAGCGCAACAAGTCGCTTATGGAGAGGTCCTTGTGCTCCTTGGGATCTTGCATGCCAGACGCTTCCAATTCTAAACGTCTCGCATTCGCGCTGGGCAGCTCCTTGGGAAACATGAACATAAAGAAGGCGATGATAAAGGTAATGACAGCTAGTATAAGCCAGCCGAGCCACCAGGCGCCCAACCACCTGGGATCTCCGGGCTTGATCAGCGGTTCCAAATTCGGTTCTATATACCAACGCAGGCAGACAGCAGCTAGCGAATAGCCAATGGCCGGACCCAGCATGCGCAGGAACGCGGATATGCCTGGAGGAAGGAAAGGACTCTATTAGAAAGGTTGTAACCAAATGCAAGAATTAGTTAGTCTGAAAATCTAAAACTATTCCTACGAAAGACAGACATGTTTCCTATACAGGAACTTAAAGATATTTGGTCTACACACAATTTCTTGTCATGCTTACTCAGCAATGCCGGTGTCTTGTCCTTTGAGGTGTTATCATCCATATAGGCAATGCCCACTGTCCAGAACAGGGATATTCCAATGCCAGCTATAAATTGGCCCAAGAACAGTACAAATGGTGGCACCCAAGTGCCATCCTGTTGTACACAACCCGATTCCTTGGTCATGCACAGTTTTTGCTCCTTATGTGCAGTTGTCAGGTATTCGCTGATGTTCTTAAAGTCGCCATATTGTCGGGTGAGCTTTAGGGCATCCTCGCCAGCGCCGTACATGAAGTGCAAGGAGCATGTGAGCAAACAGAATATAAAGATCGTAAAAAAACCTGAAATTCCACTTCATTTAAAAGGACAAAACCAACTGGGATCGATTGAATTGAATTTACCAAAGCCTATCCAGCGCGCGCGATGTCCTTTGTGTATATAGTAGCCCGCCAGGACGGAGGTTATCATCATGCTTATATCATTGCCAACGATAATCATGCCAGACATTTTTGTTGGTATTTTATAGCGTTTCTCCAAGGTCGTGATAGTGCCATTAAAGTAAGCCAGAGACATAGATAAAAAGCAACCGCCGATGCCGTAAATTATGACAAAAAACTTTTCGGTAGCTAGCCTGCAAAGGTTATTTATGTATGCAATTGGCTTGGAAAGATAGCATTACGTATTCGCCGCCTTACCTCTGCAGCATTGATCCTTTGAATATCCAAAATCCGCATCTGATATCCTTGTGCGGTTTCTCCTTAGGCGGTTTTCCATTGTTGGGCTTGGCAGAAGCATCGCCTAGGAATGGCAGCCCCTCCGCTTGTTCTTGTTTCTTGTCGAGGCTCATTTTCAACCGTTTCCATCAAAATTGTTAACTAGACTAACTGCAAACTATTTCTGAGCAAGTATATCTGGGCAGCAGTTCGTGAATGCATCCATAAACCACAGGTGATAATTATTGCTTGAACCATTATAAAACTTTAGCCTGTCGTATCTTGTATACTTAATCTAATCTTTTAGCACAAATGATGCGCAAATCTTAGTGTCATTGTGCGCGATTTTCTATATCGCTTGAGATTTCAAGATTTTAATTTCGTCGAAAATGAGACAGCAATATTGATGAGATAATATTAAAATGTATAACTTATTTTGAAAGGAGTAAAAGAACGCTGAAAATTATGATTGTTTTTTTAGTATAACATCGTTTTTCTCAAAAATTACTATGCTAGGCTTGAACCGGCGACTTCTCGCTATTGATGAGATAATATTAACATGTTGAATATGTTGAAATTCTGTCAAAATATGTTGAAATTCTGGAGCCATAACGTAATGGAGATTCTTGTTTTAAGATCGCTTTTCTTGACAATTGTTCTGTTGGGTTTGAACCGGTGACCTCTCGCTGGTTAACGCGGTCACGTTTACAAGGCTAGCTGATTTGGCGGCCTGTTTCGTCCACTTGAAGGTCAGTTTTTGCGATCAAAAGGGAAGCTTCTTTAAAACCTTGAATTTCCAAGCTTTTGCGGCTTAATGTGTGCCTTGATTCCCAATCAGTCAATCAGCCAGAACAAACTCTTATATCTAAAAGAATACTCGCGTGCCAAGCAAAGCAAACATTAAGATATTTTATATACTCATTCAGCAGTGCAAAATTTATAATATCTTTCTCTAGGTTTATCTCTGCAGAAGGTGATAAGCCCAAACTAAAAATCATGAAGTACACAAGCGTGTGTATTTAAATATTATTTATGGCGCCTTGGCTCATTTCGATTATAATGAGTTCGTTTTAATCTCGCAAGATTTTTGGCTTAATTCAAATTGTTCTGGTTCCTTGTGACTTGCCTCTTCGTCCTCTTCCTCGAATATCTTTAGATTCTTAGCATGATACCAGACACCAATGTTCCAAAAGCTGCTAGCAAAAATGCACGAGGCAGACAAGAAATTCATCGTATAGCTGTAGGTTTAAAAAAGGATTTATATAGTTCTGCAAAAGTGAAATTTCTGAAAACTTACCGCAACGATTTGGTGTCATATAGCCAGCAGTTGCCGTTCCTGCCGCATGTTTTGCCCCAGACTAGGCAATTGTTGTCCAGAATCGCGCCAAACACAAGGGGACTGGGTATAAAGGCGAGTACGGCGACGATCATATTGCTCAGACCCAAAGCAAGGCTCTTATCCGCCGAGGAAACACAGCGCAAACCCAACAACAAATTGGAAGTTCTGCCCGAGGAGCCCACGAATTTAAGAAGACACATGACGCCCAAGAAGATGAGAAACTGGTTATAACAGTCCGCCGGACATGGACCTTGTCGGGCAAATTGGTGCTAATATAAAGGATATAAACGATTAATAAGTTGGTGGTTTGAATCTTTAGTTTAAAGAAAGTTGATGGTTCGAATTTGCCTTAGTTGGTTCTAATCTAAAAGTCAAATAAGTTGTCGCCCCGATAGAGCCTAACTATGGCTTATCCTATATAAAATACTATTAATTATGGTGCAATATCTAGAAGACGTGATTCGAACCTTAGGTTAAAATAAAAGTCGATGGTTCGAATTTGACTAAGCTGACGGCTAGAAGACTTACCTCAGTAGCATTCGCTATGTCCGACGCGCCAATACACTTGCAACCTTTGTATAGGAATTGACCCAGCTCATCCTTGGTTTTTTCGGTGCAGCCGGCATGACAGGCGGAGATGTAGGTGACATTGTGTGGACTGCAAATCGGAGCGTAGTGTACATATTCACAGTGACAGGAGGCGGTGCAGCTGTCATC